CTCTTTATCTCTCTGTTGTTCTCTTTCACACACATTTTTTTCTCACCCCTTCTACTAGCCGGCCCCCCTCGCTCCATCCCTCCTTCCCTCTCTCTCTCTCTGTTCGAAACTCTGCTCCCACCAACTACAATCCCTTCCTGTCCCCCTCGTCACTTTTTATTCAGTCTTTTCATCTACACGGTCCCCTCGATTGCAAAAGCGGCACTGTCTGCGCGCGCACACAAACACACACACACACACACACACACACACACACACACAGACACGTTCAGACAGACACACAACGTGGCTCTTCCTTTGTCTGCCTGCATCATTTTCCAGCGGCAGTTTGGTTCCAAGGGATTAATGTGTGTGTCCCCATCAAGTAAGGGATGAAAAAAAGTGCCGGACACAAATAGGGTTGCAATGTATATGTTGTGTGTTTTATAGATTGTGGAGGAGATGTGAGACCGTGTGCGTATTTTTGTTTGTCTTTGTGTAACAGAGAGTGTAGAAGGAATGCAGGGCTTTTCTTCTTCTTCTTCTTCTTCTTCTTCTTCTTCTCCTTGTCTTAAAACTTTGAGCACAAATGACAAGAGGTTCTGGCAAAAACAAGTGTGGCCTTCAGCGGGTTTAGAGAATCGAATAGAAATCACGGCTTTCTGTCATAAAGTGAAGGAGTCCCAATGATTTCCACTGCACGTTTCAGAACGGCCGAGTCAGCTGCAGGTGTTCATGCAGCTGCAAGAGCCTCACAGAAGCCTGGAGGGCAGGCAGGGTGCAGCACGTCAGATGATCACTTCTCATGTCCTCACAGCACTGCTGGAAAAATCAACAGACAATGATGGTGACGTGTGATGTGTGCTACATGCACGAGTCAGTTCGCTGCCGGAGAGAGAGAGAGAGAGATGTGCCAGGTTCAGCTGCGACGTTGGTTTTGTTATCTTCGACTTTGGTTTACCACGTTTGCCCACATGGGCAGTTGCTTGGTCATTTTCCTGGTGTCAGGAAATTCCTTTCGACATTCTTTCATTGAAAGGGGACACGCGGTTTCTCTGTGTGTGTGTGTGTGTTTTTGTCTGTGTATAAAAGATAAAAAAAAGAGTGTGAGAGGGACACAGAGAGAGAGAAAGAAAGTGAAACACAAAGTTTGTTCCAGCCTGCTGGTGTGTGTCTGATATCTGTTTGTGTGTGTGTGTGTGTGTGTAAACTGGGAGGGTGAGAGAGACAGTGATGAGGTTGAACGTGTTTGATGTACTGTGATAACTCTGTCCGGTATGTGGCTTTCATGGGAACTCCTTGCCCTGGGGACATTGGCGAATAAGCTCCTGTTTACTTCGCTCTCGTTATCGCCTGTTGTTTTTCCCCCTTTATGTTCCCCACATCCTGTTAGCCTTTTACCTTGTTAGCCGCACTGTACACTAGTAGTCCCCACTGGGTTGCTGAAATGAGTAGTTGATAGACGATGAGGATAATTGAGCATTTAATTAATTGATTAATCATTCGCTGGCTCTATCATCTCAAGTGTAAGGATATGCTGCTTTTTTTTTTTTTTTGTTACTGTCATTTTGAATTAGATGTTTTTGGGCTTTTAGCTGTTGGTTTGACCAAAAAAAGCTATTTGAATAAATCACCCTCAACTCGTGGACATTGTAACAGGCATGTAATTCATTGATCAAACAAAACAAAAAAGAACGTTTTGAGTGTGTTTTAGCATGTGTCTGAGGAACGTAGCTAAACTGGAATTCCTCCTCAGGAGCCTCTTATCAGTTGGTTTAATATCCGCCTGTTCTGTTTCCAATTTGATTGACAGTCACCAGCATCGCATGCCAGACTCATTTGCTTTGAGCCTGGAGAGACAACAGGCTCGACGTGAGTGTTAATGGCCGCCTTATAAAAGAGATAAAAGCCGCTGTGAGCCACTAGATGAGCCCCCAGTGGTCGCGGTGGGCTTTCCTCATTTAAATGGAAGAAAAAAAAGTCCAGACTCGCTGCCATGACTTTGACTGAGCCCGTCTGGCAGTGAACAGCGTATTTCAGGCGGCAACATAGACATGTGTGGTCCTTATGGAGAGCCTCATACCTAAGAGTGCTGTAACCCAAGCCATGGCAGAGGCCCTTGAAAGTCCCACGTGTGCCGTTGTAAAGTAATATGTGTTGAGTTGTAAATTTATATGCAAAGTGAGTTAACACCCTGTCCCAGACTGCACTTGGTACTTTCCATTTACCTTACCGGTACCCTCCCAGGACAGACACATTCCTTCAGAGCAGCTTTAGTTGTTGGTAAGCATTAGCACGCTCTCTTCCTTTAAGTTCAACTGCTTAAAAACGAATGGTGACTTTGGGCTTTAATTGCATCTGTAATTGGTACACCAACCCTGTCTATATTAGCTCCAGAGAGACTTCTTGCAGGTGTCTTATTTAAACAGCTCCGATGCAGCCACCCAGACCATTGGCTGCCAGAAGGCTGAGGAGATATAATACCTAGGGACAGATGGAGAGTGAGGAGAAGTGAAGATAAAGATGTCATCAGAAAGATGTCCACTAGTGTGCATGCGCACACACACACACAAACCCATACAGTGAATGAGCATTGCGGGGATGTTGCCCGTGTCAGAGGAAACCTGATGCATTCAGTTTCACCTTCTGCTGGCAGAGGATAACACAGAGGGGCAATATAAAACTATCACCCTGCCTGAATGGCTGACTGGGTATGCACTGAGTAATACTGCCGGCTGATGCCTGCGCTGATGATAATCACAATCATAGTTGTGTATATTTATGAGCTCTTTGTTGCAGCCGGCAATCCCTCCGCGTATGAATTATTTACACTCAACCGGCCCATAGTTCATCATCCATATTTAATGGTTGGGATCGCATACGTCCAACTGCAGCTTTCTGTTGACTAATGGAGCCGTTGAACACAACTTAAGTTGCAAGACGCTGATAAACATGCACTTGATGATTGATGAAGGCGTGTGTAATTCTTGACCAGGCTAGCTGGATATTCTTCGAGGCCTCTTTGGTTTAAATGTCAAAGTTCAGCCCATAACAAAGATGAAGCTTTTCTTTGGCAGATTGAGCAGATTACATGGTTGCTCTGCTATATGGGTTTTGGGATGTTCTTACCATATACGGGTACAAACTGGGCGGCCAGAGTTCACTACTGAGTTTGATTAACATTGCCGAATTAATTTACTCAGGTCGAGCGGCTGTGGAAAAAGACCATTTACAGACATCTGTACTTTCTGAGGTTTAACCTTGTATCTGATTACTGGAAACATTCACACCGACTGAGGAAATCTACTCACATTAGCTTTTCTTTGATCGAAATGCTTTAGCAGAAGTTTTACAGGCAATCAACACTTCATGTTCTCAAGAGAAATTACAGTACTCTTTGCAAGTATTAGCAGTGGTTAGCTTTACAAGAAAGAGCTGTTTAATCAGCCACAACTACTCTGACAGTCCTTTTTTTTTCAATGGTGCTGTGAGACATTTCTGTGAGGCTTCTACTTCTTTGATGTTGATGCGTTTCGTCCCTCTGTAGTAAAGGGGACCCTCTAACTTTCATATTTAAATGTATCTCATCAAACAAACAGAAACCAACTTACATTCTTCTTAAGAAAGTTAAATGTAACATCATCACAATAATTTCCCTCCTCTGACTGAATATTAATGCAATGTTTTGTCTCTGTCTTGCAGGGTTTACTTGAAGATATTCACACAACAATTTGAAGGAAAAACTCAGCAGCTTTCCCAACAGGCTTGAAAAAACTCCCGGTTTAGTGTGTGTTTCTAAGAGCTGGGAGACGTGTGGTTTACTTTGATTAGTACTGCACAGAAGTGGATGTAAAGTAAATGTAGGACATGGTGAGGAGGAAAGTGAGGATAGAAACTCTTCTCTCACAGCTGTGGGCTCACCCTCCTGTGCTACTGTAAAGCATCTAATAAAAGGAGACAGGGAGGCAGAGAGTGGAGGAGAAGTGGGAGAGGGTCGCCAGTTGGACCGACGACGGCCTTCAGTCACCTGCAGCACTGGGAGAACAGCCTGACGGGCTAGACGGGGTGAGAGGTTAACCACAGAAAGAGAGAGAGACGGGGACTGACGGAGGAGCAAAGGTTTGGAGGAGGAGGAGGTCAAGGAGGCGTGAGAAAGTCCGTTCCCCATGGCTACTGACCCAGGAGAGCCCACAGGCACCGAGGACTCCTCGGAGAAACCTGATGGACAGAGGGAGGAGGAGGGCAGGGCGGACCCACAGAGGGAGAGGACAAACGGCACCCCCTTGGACTTCCCCTCCTCCCACACTCAGGAGAGGAAAGCGACAAGAGGAGAGGATGGAAGAATCCGAGGAGGACAGGGAGGAGAAGCCAGCCGGGAGGGAAAGGAGAACCCAGTCAGTCCGACTTCATTCTCCACGCCCTCCTTACCAGTCGACACTGGCCAGAAACGGCTGAGGAGGGAGAAGCGCTTCTTCAGGAAGAGTGTGGAGATTTGTGAGGAGGACGATGAGGTGGAGGTGACCCCCGAGGCCTCCCACAGCGCCCCTCACCTGGAGCTGCGCTCCTCAGACTCAGTCTTCACCAGCAGTGACCAGCAGCAAGGGGCTGCTTCCTCCTGTGCTGCCATGGGCCTCGACCCATCCTGCCCCAGCTCCAGCCAGGAGCCAGACAAGGAGGTACCTTCCTCCTCACCCACCCAGAGGGGGAAGGAGAGGGATCATGAGCAGGAGGAGGAGGCGGAGATGAAGGCTGTGGCCACCTCTCCTGGAGGCAGGTTCCTCAAGTTTGACATTGAACTGGGCAGAGGAGCCTTCAAGACTGTGTATAAAGGCCTGGACACAGAGACCTGGGTGGAGGTGGCTTGGTGTGAACTTCAGGTAAGACAAACGTTTTTGCTCTTCTTTTTCTTTCGTCACACCATGATGCAAAATGTGTCATTATATATTTTGCATTAGCGGGCACAATTAGCTGCATGATAGAATAAACCCAAAATAATTTGTGAACACTCCAGAATGTGTACGCAACCCTGAGGGCTAAATGGAAATACTAGTGTGCTTTAGAGAGCTTTCCATCATCTTTTTGAGGTGAATAGTGTAGCTCTTCTTTTTGGAATCTGAAAATCTCAGCACGTCGTCTGCTTGCTATTCATACTGCGAGACTGCAGTTCAGTGGAGACCGGGGTGAAAAGGAGGAGCATCGCTTGTAGTTAAGTGACAGCACACATTGAAAGTGGAGACTTTGCCTTTTCTGGCGCTGTTATGAATAATAGAATCATGAGCTGTCAGTGCTTCTTCCTGTTGTGATAAGGTATCCTACTCGAGACAGAACGTTCTGCATTAGACTGAATTATATGAATTCAGTCATGACACTTAAGGTAAACATTCATTTTAGGGATTGCATTATTGGTGTAGTGCAGTGCTGTCAATCAGGAAATGGACTCCAGGGCACTTGAGCAAAAGCATCTTGTGAGGTAAGGAGGTGTGTGTGAGTTCACCCTTGTTAGTTACTGGAAAAACCTTTTTGAAGAAGCTGTCAGCATGTATCACAAGTTTTTCCGCGGGCTGGGCTTTATGGAGAAAAATACTTTGATAAGATATTGAGACAATATCATACGGTTGGTTAAATTCAGAAAATTACATAAATTTACTGTATTGCATCCTTAAAAAAACAGGAAAAGACAACACTTATGCCATATTACAATATAACAATATCCCAAATCAAAGACGATATCTAGTCTCATATCACAATATCGGTATTGTATATATTGCACAGCCCTAGTGTTAAAGTGTGAAGTTAATGTTTGTTATTAAAGTGTAAAGGCAAAGTGATGTCACTATTTAGGCTAGTTTTAATATGCTTGGGTAAAGCTAGGGCTACAGTACATTTCATAGTCTACTCGTGTCTATTGTGTACTATAATGAAGTCTGAAATGGAAATAGTCATGTGAAAGGGAAGCTCTAAATGGGATGCATTTTGTGATCGCAGAGCAAATAGGAACATTGTCGCAGATATACAGCAAACATTACTGTAAGAAACTCTTTGTCATGCACTGACGTTGCAGTGGGAGGATTGTTAAATGTCTTAATACCAGAGCACTGCTACAGAGTCCTTACATGCAGAGAAGTAATGGGAAACATTGTTATGGTGTGAATTCAACATGTGGTGGGCGACAGACTCGTGGAGGAGAGAAGAAATGCATCCCTCCGACTCTTGGCCCCACAATAGAGAGCAGTGTCATGATAAGCCATCCGATTTGACTGCAGGCTTTGTGTGAGAAAAGTCAGTCATGTGTTTGGTTTGGAGCTAATTCCAAAACAATAGCCTTGACTAATCCTTGAGATCAAGCTCTGTCTGTTGGACTGGCAAACAGCAGGTTTGCCCCAAGTTACCTTTTCTGGTTTTACTTCAACACCTAGTGAATCAGCTTCACATCAGCAGTTCTGCGGCATGGTATATCATACTGCCGCGGATCATGTTCAGTCCTACTTAAATACTTGATGTGTCCCTTCTTCAAGAGATCTGCTCTGATGGCAAATGTAGCCTGTTCGTTCATGACACAAAGGCACTGTGTAGCCTTTGCTCAGGAGTGTGAGCATGTCTGAGGTGGTAAAGCATTTTTTGAAAATGAAAAGACAGTAGACTTAAGCTGATTTATGCACCCATAATGGATCTGCAAAATCCAATTTTTTTCTGCACAATTGCAGTGGGTCAAAGTAATTATCATGTAGAAAATCTAGTTATTACTGTTTTTTTGTTCATTTAGCACGAGGACATTACTGGCATTACGTCACTCAGAAACTACTGAGACAATTAGAAACACTCACTCACACACGAATTAAATGTGTATCATACACAGATAGGAAGACAACCTATTAGAGAAAAGCAGACTGAGATCTGGACACAGAGCAACAGCAAGGAGAATGAGGCGTGTGAGAAAGGAAAGCGAGACACAGCAGGAGGTGATGGTGAGTGGGAGGGAGAGAGAGAGAGAGACAGAGCGGGAGACGACGAGCCAAGCAGAGGATTATCATGGCATCCCTCCCAGAGAGCAGTCGTCTAACACTGAGTTACCACATGGAGGGAGACACATGCACTCAGCACCCTGGTAGATTGATCCAGTGCCATGTTCAATGTAACATTCGAGTCACCCAGGTCACATGATCCGTCCTATTTAGCCCACTTTACCAAAGCTTGAACACAGTTTCAATGACAGGTGGATGTAGTGAGATAATAGTTAATAATGATAGACTTGATGTAACCATCACTTTTTCCTCCTGGTGTTTGATGCAGAGATGAGTAATTTTTCAATAACATAATACAGTATGGATGTATCACAATTAGGTATTATAATCAACATCAATATTGTTGTCTATATTTGTATCTAAATTAGTTCATTGTGTTTAAAGCCTACAATTTTGCTCAATTCCTCACACTTTAACTTTGAAATTCAAACAAGTAAAAACACAGGTCCCAGTAATCAAACAACATGCACGGAAGTACGTATGTATCATAATCAACGAACAGTCTGTTCAATGCCCCCAGTTGAAAGGCACTGGATGGGACAGGATGATAAACAGCCTGTTCATGATGAGCCAATGCAATATTTAAAGCTATATCCACTATGAGACTGCAGCCTGGGAGCACCACCTAGCTCTTCTCCTCCTGTGTCCACATCGAGGGGATTATCAGTCCAAATGCAGTTTGAAAGAGTGCGTAATTAAAGTTCACAGTCCGGACACCATCTTTTATCTGCCTTTCCCTGGGAATTCCACGCCTAAAAGGGAAGAGCTATCTCACTTGCTACTGCTTTGGTTGTACATTTTGCTGTCCGTGCCCCTAAGTCGATGTGTTTGTGTATGTCTTGTACATGTATTACATTTCTGTGTGCAAGCTGTTGCTCTCTGTCCGTCTGTGTCAACATATGCCAATGTCACCCTCTTTCTCTCTTCCTCTCTCGCCCTCCCTCCGTCGATCACTTTTTTTTTCTGAGTGAGCGAGCATGCAGAGTGATCCAGGGAGTTAATTACAGTGGGTGCTCGTAAGGCTGGAACAAAAACCCTGCACAGACAGCATAACTCGGGCGGCAGACACCAGACTGGTTCAACCCAGTCATCCCAGACTGGTTCCAGCTCAGCTCAGCTCAGCCATGCTACACTCACAGAACTGCAAACACCAGAGCAGCGCTCGCGTCTGCAGTGCTGAAGGTTGCCATGATGATAAAGACTACCACCTCAAATATTTGATTTAACATGTCTGTGAAAAGCGCTTTATGAATACATTTTACTTACTTATTGTTGATGAGCTTTTTTGATTTATGTCTGCATATAAATGCCAGTTTAGGAGGTTGCTTGCTACAATCACTGTGCCATGTTTCTTAGTGAAAAGGTTCCTCCTTATTAAGGCCATAAGAGCCCTTTGATATGGTTAAGAGTTCAGCGTGCAGCTCCTGTGAAACAGTCTCGACCCCTTGTTCACCTATATACAGTCGATACCCCCGGTTTGGCAGTTGACTTCATTATAATTGAGCCGTTCACAAGGTTGAAAGATCATCTCTGGTCGCTGCCTGCTGCTTGCCTTATGTTATAATTGATAGCTGTATTCCCATCCTTTGATAAGAACAATCAATGCAGGCTCTGGTGAAAGTATTCGAAAGAACAAAATCCTTTGCAGAAAGACTTGGCAATATTTACAACAATTACTTTATTCTTTGGCTCAGTGTAACAAATAGCTGCAAAAGACAATATGGGTTCGGCTAGGTAAAGCAAAGACAGTCTATTGATGGGTGACTAAAATTAGGAATCAGATGGACTACAGCTGAACTGAGTAGACCCGGATGGAATCGATCCAACCAAACTGACCAGACGCATGGCTCAACTAGGGCACCAACGGTTGGCAAGTGTCCCTAAGGCTATATCCCCATTACCTAACCGACAATGGAGATTCGATTGCTGTTGAATGTTAGAGACATTGCCACATAACACAGGCATTGACTGTATAGGCTAATCAGGCTAATCAGAAAATCAGTACATCTAAAGAACACATGCTCAAATTATTATGATGCGATTATTATCTCAGGAATGTGACAAAAAATAGGAACGCCACAAAAGGATTGTGTCAGATTTTAAGATAAATTTGTAAGGTAGCATTGATGTCCATTAATAAACATTTTCACAACTCGTTATATGAGGAGCAGAATTGAGTACAGAGAGATATGAAGACCTCCTGCTAACAAGTGGTCACTGAAAAGGAAATGGCCATGGCAGTGCATTTGCTAAAGGAATATGAAGGTTAGTGAACTTGGCCTACTGGCCTCAGGTTCTAATCTGGCGTGTGGGCCATCCCTTTTCCAACAATCTATTTTGTTATTCTGAGCTGTTGTAGCTTACAGTAATCTAATCCTAGCCACCCGCCGCCTCGGATTTTCAAACACTGACATGCTTATTCCCACACTGCAGAGCCATACACACTATGCTCATAAACGTACAAATACCCACCTACAGTAAAACTAATGTTCCCCTATGTGTTGATAGTGCCATAAACCAGCCCTTATTTATCAAGACAAGAATGTAACCAGAGAAGCCACTTCATCTTCAGTCTGTATGATATCTGATATTCCTGCAGTGTTTGCCAAAATAGTTGTTTTGGGGCTCACGTGCTTTGGCATTCATGACCTCAGCCAAATGCCTTGTAAGCCATATCCTGTCCATTTCCTCCGGTGCTTTATGAGGCTACTTAACCTGCACCTTGACCTTCTGCTCTACCAGATGTCTGATCCAAAAACATCTCATGGTGCACAACCAGGTCTTACTCTGCTTACCAAGTTATAAAACTTAAGTCCCTGCCACGGAGGCGCCTTGTGACAACAATATTACATGACCAAGCGGACTATGCAGGTATGTACAAAATATCAGGAACACCCAAAAATAGCATGTCATTAATTACAGTTACCCTGCAGTAAATACTACATCTGTGAAACTTCTAATGTTTTATATTTGTTGAGACTGTATCAAAGGGGTGTTCCTGTATTGTAGTGATCCTGGTAGCTTGTCTGCTAATTCTGGCCCCAAAAAACTACAGCAAAAAAACTGCTGTAGAGCTGAATGAACATACCTAGAGACACAATCTCAAAAAGAATTGAACATCATAATCTTACTGGATTGCATCACTTTTTCTGTTCAGAATCAGAAAAACCTCCCATCACAAATGGAAATGTATCTTTTACGTGGCTCACATGGTACACAGAGAGTAAGAATATATTAGTTAAAAACAGTGTGGCTGAACAGGAAGTTTTAATATGTGCGTATATCCCTTACTGCTTGTTTTGGTTTTAATGGCAGCACCCACTGTGCTGTGTTATACACAGTAAGGCCAAGTGTATGTATGTATAGCTACCTTGTTTACAGTCTTAGGTATTCATTAGGATACCCAAGATCTCCATTATACAGACAATCAAACGTGAATTAAAAATAATTCTTGATTATGGATTCTCATCGTGTGCTTAAAGCTAGGGTGTTCACTTCTTAAGGTTGCAGAAATTGGGAACAGTCAGGCTGTGTCATGGACTCCTGAGCTGACCTTTCTCTCCCTCACTTTCTGTTTCTCTGTTGCTTCCCTATTTACATTTATCTGCTGGTTAGGAGGCTGTTCTGTTTGTGTGAGTTGCTGTTGTACCGATGTTACAAATGTACTTTAGTATACAATTCCACATTATTGTCATCATTTCCAAGAGTTTATTGAGTAGTATTCCTTTAAATGTATCACATAAGTCAGTGTGAATGAGGCCTCGTAGCAGCAGTAATTGTATTTGGGTGTACTTAGCACGCTTGGAAAGAGGACTGCGACTAATTATTGGAACACTTGAAGAATGCATATTGCCTTTTTTTTCTTTTTTTTTGTTGTTGTACCTCTCTTTGTGTGAATATGGGAGTGTGGGTGGGTGGCTATGCGAATGGGAAGTAGGTTTGTGTGAGTCTGTCTAGACACAATCTCACCAACTGAACTCTTTGTGACCTTTGCCGACCTGAAAGCTGTCTGATGCCAAACTCAGCGAGAGACGCGATAGATGCTGAGGAGGCAGCAGACAGGGACACACGGGCAAACGCTCTGTGCCAGACAGTGAGGCAGAGTGACGCTCTGACGAAGGAGTGAGACAGAGGACAGGCACCCAAACCCAGGCAGTACTCCCAGACAAAATAAAGCACACCACAAAGACGACACTTGTAGATATGGGTAGAGGTGGTGTAGAAAGAGACAGCATTGAGACCTAAGCATGGTTAGATAAACCTGCACACAGTCAGGTAAACGCACATCATTGCTTAAGCATGCATGCACATAGTAACATGAGGTAGTTGGTGTTAAAGGAATGAGTGCATGAGGACAGACCTAAGCTGGCTAACTTATTCTTAGCCATAATAGTGCAACGAGGAACAGCCTTTTTGTTGATGCTACTTCCCTGTTGAGAGGGGAGATGTGGAGCAATTGCCTTGACCAGTACTTCCAGAAAAGGACACTGAACCAGTATAGACACAGAGAGGAAAAGATGTCTGAAAAGATGAAACACAGACACGGGGGGAAGAGAAACAGAGGCACAAAATCAGTGCATGCTAGAAAAATACCCCCCATATGATAAATATAGAAAGAGGTAGGGACAGAGAAACTGCATTACATGAAAATCTCTTTACATCTATACAAACATCTGCAGTACAGCGTGTCCCTTTGGGGAGATCTGTGTTAAACAAAAAGCTCAACTTCGATGGAATCTATCAGTGAAGAGCCAGTGTTATGATGACTTCTATTTATGGTTTTGTCTGTTTGTGACGTGACAATGGCTGCCACCCGACTCCCTTACATATATCAAGTCAGTACACTGTTTTGTTGGAAATAACAAACAACAACAACAGTTGCTTGTGACAAGTCTAAAAATACACACTGACTTAGTAGAGCCTTTAAGCATTTCCTCCACAGTAAAATGCTTTGATTGTGAGGATTGTGTTTGATTCTTCAATGTAATATCACCAGTGCATCACTTGCATATTCATAAATGCCATTTCCTGTTGATATTATATAGGGAATTTAAAAGATAGGTGTGTGTTTTTTTTGTCTGAATACGGCTGATGTTATTGACGAGAGCACCAAGGGTTTAAGAAAATAGAAGAATACATAAGAATACACAAGCAATACAAGACATTTTAACTGCAGAACGGAGCACCTTCTCTGCATAGCATGCAAGAGTCTAACGTCTTTATAAATAACCTATGCACCAGTGTTTGACAGAGGGATAAGTCAATGGCTGTGTTTGTTCCTGTGGGATGCTGCCTGTGCCAGTGAACTGGATTTCTGCCGTGTCCATTCTGGCCACCATACTGGGGATGTGTGGCAGATGCAGTAGAAATTTGTTTTATAAAGCTAAGGGTTGGGTGTTGTCTCAGCACTAATGCAACTCTGTATTGCTAGCACCATCTAGTGGCAGTAACAGTGCTTGCAGTTGTGGAATTGAGGGAGTATAGGAATCATAACCTCTAAAGCTCTGGAGAAGCCAATGTTCACAGTCATGCCATATAACTTGTTGTGTACCTCTCACTTCAGGACCGCAAGCTGACCAAGGCAGAGCAGCAACGCTTCAAGGAGGAGGCCGAGATGCTGAAGGGGCTCCAGCACCCCAACATCGTCCGCTTCTATGATTCCTGGGAGTCTGTGTTCCGTGGCAGGAGGTGCATCGTACTGGTCACAGAACTCATGACTTCAGGAACACTCAAAACGTTAGCACAACCTCCTCATTTCTATTACTCTTCACTCGATGACAGATCACTATTTTTGTGTTGTTCAGTTTTGTTGTTTTAGCCAGTCATGTCACCACACCCATGAGAGTAAATGTCACCCATAGGCAGCAGCTCTGTACTGCAAATTGTTATAAAATGTATAGCGCACTTAAAATGACCAATAAAACAAAGCTGATATACAGTATACATCATGATTCACATGTCTATGAAAGGCCTAGAAAGTATTTTCTCTCACTTATTTCATCTGTTGCAGTGTCAATTGTAGCTGCAGTGCAAAACAATAGCTGTAAACCTGCCTTCATAGTAAGCAAATATCAACACATGGTGTTGATAGTTGAAGTGCTGCTCAATCCTCTCCTAAAATGCTGTTGTCATAGCATTGAAATTCAAAGGTATTTATGAGAGTGTTTTTGTCTCTCATGGGGATCATCTAGCTATCCATCAGTGGCTGATTACAGTTTACTTTCTTTCCACTACAAAATCCTGCTCTATCTCTCTGCACAGTTACCTGAAGCGCTTTAAAGTGATGAAACCCAAGGTCCTGAGGAGCTGGTGTCGGCAAATCCTGAAGGGCCTTCACTTCCTTCACACCAGGACTCCTCCAATAGTCCACCGGGACCTTAAGTGTGACAACATCTTCATAACAGGCCCCACAGGCTCGGTCAAGATAGGTGACCTGGGACTAGCCACTCTTATGCGAACCTCCTTTGCCAAGAGTGTCATTGGTAAGTAGACAAACTACCTCTTACGCAGTATGGAAAAGTAGAGAATTGGATTTTTTATTTGTAATTTCTAGGTCTGTCTGTTCTAAGTATGGAAAAAGGAAGAGTATATGGAAACATATTTGTGTTTCCAGGCTATAACTCCTATTCTGTTTTCTAAAATATAAAAATCAGAATTTATAAAAAATCAGCGGCCCCCCAGCACAGACAAAATGTATACCACTGTGTAAAAGAGCGCAGGCTAGAGCGAGCTTGATGTCGTTGAAAAGCAAGGTTAGAAGAACGGAATGGAGCTGAACGCACACTCCTTCATGGTGCTGCATCTACGCTGGTTCGTCACAAACTGCAAAACAGCTCTGCCCAAAGCGCCATATGTTTGACAGTGGAGCATTGTCCAACTTTCTACGTAGGAGTGCACTGAATGGCCACAATGGGTAAATTTGTCCAACATCTCCAAATGGGGGAGGCGGCAATTGTAAGTCATTTGCAAAGGGAAAAAAGCACTGTAGTCTTGTCATAGCATCCTCTGCACCTAGAGTCACAAAGTCAAACATGAACTCCAAAATGTCCAGAGCAATCTGCAAATTCGAGTCTGGAAAAGTATGACATTTTGAAATGGAAAATGTTTAGGAACCCTGTAAACCTCTGAGCGCAATGCCAGGCATGGAGAAGCTACATCAGCAAATTGAGTCAGGGCCTTTATATATACTTTTCTCTGTATTCAGCACTGTTCAGATTTTTACAGAGGTCATCAGTTGCCTGGAGATATAGATTATTATTGACTGAGTCACTTTAAAGTCCATGTGGGCCGCACTTAATGTAAACAGAGACCACTGATGAGAACTTAAGCAATGCACTGTGAGTGCCTTTTAGCTCAATAACGTTTGACTCCGGAAGCAAGAGCAATCCCCATGAAGATTGTTATCAGAGTTTTCATTCCTCCGAGGACTTTGGGGCATTAGTGCTCTGCGGACATTGTTATGTGACAGTAAATACAGATCGTAACAGTGGTGAAATAGTATTCAGCTGTTCTGCTTGTAATCGACTGTGAACCATCGTCTGGTCTTAACAGGAACGCCGGAGTTCATGGCTCCAGAGATGTATGAGGAGCACTATGATGAGTCTGTGGATGTCTACGCCTTCGGGATGTGCATGCTGGAGATGGCCACTTCAGAATACCCCTACTCTGAGTGCCAAAATGCTGCTCAGATCTATCGCAAAGTCACAAGTGTGAGTCTCTTTGACTGCAATAGTCTCATACAAACTCAACTCATTTGTGGTGATGACATGTTTAAACTTGTTCTTTCACAGTTTATTGAAGTGAGATCCAAATTCAATGTCTGCAATGATTATATACTATATCCCAGAATCTAATTCCATCATTTCCTTTAAATTCATTTCCCATTTCTTTTTGTGCAGGGTATAAAGCCAGCCAGCTTTGATAAAGTGAATGACCCAGAAATCAAAGAGATCATAGAATGCTGCATTCGTCAGAACAAGAGTCAAAGGTAAACAGGTTTTACTTTCATTTCATTTCATACTACATTGTCTCATGCTGGATTCCTAAACGGGATCATAAAACATGCTGATGCCTGTTTCACCATTCCTGCTCCTTTTGTTGTCTCTCCCTTGACAGACTCTCCATCCGAGAGCTCCTTAACCACGCATTCTTTGGGGAGGACACAGGAGTCCGGGTGGAGTTGGCAGAGGAGGACACAGGCACCCAGGACTGTCTGGCTCTCCGGATTTGGGTTGAAGACCCCAAGAAGCTTAAGGGGAAGCACAAAGACAACGAGGCCATCGAGTTCAGCTACGACCTGGAGAATGATAGCGCTGAGGAAGTGGCTCTAGAGATGGTGAGATATATGCCAGTGTAGTAGAAAACGGGGTTCGTATGACAGTCCAGTGTGGGATAAGGTGGACTGGAAAAAGGCTTTGATTCTTAAAAGGTTGCAGGAAGGTAATGAGGGAAATCCCTAACTTATCAGCCATTTCAAGGTACCTCCTGCTGACCTAGATTCCTTCAGCCCTCCTCTAACCATTAATAACTCTCTCTCTCTCCCTCCCCCCCCCCCCCCGGCTCTGCCCCCCCCCCCCCCTCTCTCTCTCTCTCTCAGGTGAAGTCAGGATTCTTCCATGAGAGTGATGCCAAGGTGGTGGGAAAATCCATCCGGGACCGTGTAAATCTGATCAAAAAGTCGCGGGAGCGTCGACAGCAGCTGCTCTTCCAGCAGCAGCAAGACTTCGAAGAAAAAAGAGACCCCACTCTCACCTCCAACACCTTTTCTCATCCATCCTGCCCATCCTCACTGGGGCCAGGGGCAGCTGGACAGACCGGAGGAGGAGGAGGAGGAGGAGGAGGAGGAGGAGGAGTGCAGGAATCTGAAGAGCTGCCTGAAGTGGACCAGTATGTCAGGCAGCAACATATTTTCAGTGGGACAAACCTTAGTCTGCCAGGTAAAGGCACCTTTATTAGCAGTATTTTATAAGAGAGGTACGCTATGAGTTAATACGTTTTTACATTCCTTCTTTTTTTTTTAAATTGTCTTTCACTCAGAAGGTGAGAGCATTGGGTCTGCCAGCTGTGAATCTTATGCAAGTGGACAGAGCCAAGCGTACTCTCAACAAGGGGAATCATACTCCCACTCTCAGAATACTCTCCCCCCTACGGCATCTGTACGTCTATACCTTGTTTTCTTCTCGTTCATAAATCACACCAAACTGATAAATTGATCACTGTTTGAAATCTTTGTTTTGATAAATCACATTGTTCATTAACTATTTTCCTGCTCTTCAGACTACTGGCGCATTGACTCATCCTCAAATGCTCCCAATTGGTGAGAGTGGAAGTGTTCCAAATGTGCCTATTGGTCAGAGCGTTAGTATGTCTTGCATGTCTGTAGGCCAAAGTGGAGGGGGACCTGTTGGTCAGACATATCTTCAGCCCAGTACCATGGTTCCACAGGTATCACAAAGTGTCCCTCAACAAATGTTTCAGGTAAAAATGGTGATGAAACTAATTAGTATTAAAATGAAACCCATATTTACACTGTGGCTGCAACATTTAATGTTATTGTCAATGGAAGTAAAGCTATGGTTCCACAACTTAATTACATTTTGGGTGCTTTACGCTTAAACAACTATTTATACAACCACAAATCATCCTCTTAATGCTCTGAGATTGACCATCTGTCTGTATGTTGTACAGGGTTTCCCCCAGGAGATTAGTTAGTTGGTGATATGTAATGGTCACATTACCTCTCAATTAAACCTACTCTATAGACTTGCCGTGTGAAACAGTGCCTCTGCTCTTTTCACCTGAGCGTTAATGTTTTACTTCATTAAAGTGTATTTACTTTTTCTAACTTAAGCTGTGCAGTCTGTACACCTGCGCTATAAAACCCTGTGGGAAACCCTGTTGTATAACATTAATTGTGTTGATAATTTATCCTCCTTGCCAAAGCTAATTCTTACCTAATTTTTTCACCACTTTCTTTTCCCTCTTCTTTCAACACCAATCATCATTCTGTCATTATCACTGAGTAGTCACAAACATTCCCATCAGATTCATTTCAAACTGCCACCCCCCATGGGTCATTGGCCCCCTCACAGTCATACATACCTCCAGTTTCCCCACAAGCACCCAGTAATGTTCTCACTACATCCATATCAGTCAATGATCCTGCTGGACTAGGGGGGACCATTGTGCCCCTCGCTCAGCAGACCCAACCCCCTGCCACTCCCATGCAGCTCACTGACATCATTCCCCATGCAGCACCCCAGCAAACACAGCCTGTCATGATCCCTCAGCAGACTATTGTCCAACAACAACAGATAGGGATGGATCCCCAGACCACCACCCTTCTGCAGCAGCCGCAACAGCAAATGGAGGCCCAGGCCACTCTGCTCGAACAACAACAAGTTAGTGCGACTCAGCCACCAACGGAACATCATCCACAGAGCCTTTCAGCTATAGCTGTCCAGAACCATCAACATGAGCCTCAGCAGCAGATCTATGTACAGCAGCCTGTTCCACCTGTCCACACGACTCCTCAGCAGCAAGTATTACCTAAACACATAGGGATGGAGCAGCGAGCTGTGTCATTGCCACAGCAAGGGGAACAGCCTCCGACAGGGGATCCTCGTGAACAGACCCTGATACAACCACAACTGCAACAACAGCTTCAGCAAACTCTGTTACAACAGCAACAAGCTTTACTGCTCGAGCAACATCAGACGTACGTCCAGCAACAGCTTGATCAGCAGCAACAAAAAGCATTGCTTCAACAGCAGCAACAACAACAGACCCAACTACAACAACAACAACTGGAGCAGCAGCAAGTACTTATACACAAGCAATTGTTGGATCAACAACAGCAGCAAGCTCTTATTCAACAGCAACACGAGAAGCAGCAGCAACAGCAAGGTCTTGTACAACAACAGCAACCACAACAAGCACTTTTACAACATCAGTTAGAGCAGCAGCAACAGCAGCCTCCTTCACAGCAAAAGCAGCAGAATCAGTTTTATCAACAAATTGGGCAACACCAAAGTGGAATACAAAAAGAACCAGAGAAGCAACAACAAAGTGGGCAACAAATTGTATTGCAGCAGCAACCCCAGCAGACTCAACAGCAAGCGGAACAATTGCATCAGCAAGCCATACTCCGACAAATGGAACAACAGCAGCAACAAGCCCTAATACAACAGCATCTGCAACAGCAGGCTATTTTACAACACCATCAGCTACAACAGAAAGCTCAGCTACAGCAACTGCAACATGAGCAGCAACAAGTGCAACTCAAACAGCAGATAGAGCAGCAGCAGCAAGCTCTGTTGCAACAACAGTTTGAGCAACAGTGTCAGCAACAAGTCCTGTTACAACAACAACAAGCAGAGAGATTCCACCAACAGGCTTTGATGCAGCAACAAATTCAAGGGCAGCAGCAACAAGCAGCCATTATCCAACTTCAGCCAACTGAGAAGCAAGAGACTGTCCCAATTCCACAAAGTAACAGTAATCAGCAGATTCAGCAGCAACCAACTGATATGCAGCACACGTGCCTTCCAAAACTAAACGCCACTCCGTTTACACCTCATGCCGCTCTCACACAGCAGCAAGTGATGGAGCAACAGCAGCAAGCAGCATTGATCCAGCAGCAGCAAGCATTTGTTGCCCAGCCGCAGCATCACACCTCTGTAATGGAACCCCATATGCCAGCCGGCACTGAGGTGATTCAGCACCAAACTCAAAAATTATCACAGGACCAGGTCCCCATGGCCATTCAGACTATGCACATCCCTGTTCAGACGTCTGCTGTTGTCCCAGCTCAAGTCCTTTCCCAGCAAGGACAAAGTGAGGCTCATCCCCAGAACCAGGTCCCAGTCCAATTTATAGCCCAGTCCACAGTCCAAACAGCTCAGGCTATGATTGAGGCCCAAGTATCTCCTCCTGCGGCAGTGATCCAGCAACAGACTCATGTCATCCAGGCCCAGCAAATTCCTCTACAGACTAGTTACCCAGGACCTGCCACACTCACACAGAGCCAGGTAACTGCTCAGCCATTAATCCAGACTCAGCCAATTGGTCAGTCCCAGCCACCACATGGTCAGGGCCCAACTGTGGACATTCAGATGATGGGCCAGCAAAACCAAGCTACTGTCCAGCCTCCAGCTGCAATTACCTCAATTCCCAGTCAGATCCAACATGAGACTCTTGTTCAGCAAAATGCTCAAATAACAGGACTCATGCAGCCCCAGCTCCAGTATGTCTCTCGGCCTACCCACCAAGCCATGCCATCTGTACAACAGGATGCAACTCATATGACACAACAGCAGCAGCAACAAGAGCCAGTTCTGCAGTTTCACCAGATGATTCGGTCTCCTTGCTCAGCTGGAAGTGTTGGAACAACAACAGATTGCCTCAATTCTGTAATTGACCCTGCAAACTTTGTTGCCACTCCTCATCCTGTGCCGCAGGCTGGAACAGCCTATGTCCAAGGCCAAACAACACCACACCCAGTTGTTCAGGCCCAGCAGCAGCCCCTAGTAGGCACTGCTGACCCTTCAGTCAGTCAGTCCATCTCCCAGCCTCCTATGCCTCAGTCTACTGTGCATTACCAGCAACAGCTACAGAAGCTTTCTCAAGCGCAGCAACCACTAGCTCCACCTCCTGCACAGGCCCAGTTACTGGCAAAGCCCATCCAAACTCCCATCCAGCAACCACTTCCTATGAAGCAGGCTTTGATAGCCCTTGACGACGGTCAGCTGCCCTCACAGTGTCCACCTGCTTCACATCTGATGACCCATCCTTCTGCACAGATAGTGGCAGGCGCCCCTCCATCTCTGCAGCACCAAGCCAAGCAGATGCTGCCAGCTCACACACACTCACAAACTAGCATTCAGGGCCAAACAAACTCCCAAACGCAGGCACATTTTCAGACACAGGCTCATTCTCACATTCAGACACACACTGAGACACCTATTGCTGAACAGCCTGTGCTACCCCATGCTGTCTCTCCTGCACAACAAATGCCCCTCAGCCCGTCTCATACCTCATGTCCCCCAACATCCCTACCACGTCTTCCATTCCTACCATCCCACCATCCCGCTGCTTCCCCTGTGCCAGAGCTGCCTACATCTCCGCCAGCGGCCCAGGTAACCTTACCAGGGCAGACCTACTTTATGCCCACCTCCCCTCCACCTGTCACTGCTCTACAATCGCTTGACTCTAAAGCCCCCAAACTGCCCCAAGCCTCGCTGCAAGACTGCGACCTTTCCCTGCTGGGCATTGCTCAGGTACAGGAAGAATAAAAGTTGGCTGTATTAATGAGGAAATTATTTTACTTTGCTTACATACTGGCAGAATGATTGAGAGTACTGCTATCTAATTATATGAAAAAGGATTTGACTTTGTCTTTTGAATTCAAACTAACAAGTGTTACATTTTAAAACATTAGTATATTCATAGAACAGTACATTTGTTAATAAATGCAATATCCATTATTACATTATAGCTTTACTTGCATCTGATGTTGCTAATGATTTTTTTGTGTCTTTTGTTCTTTATACCTGCATAATTTGTGCCTGTATTCATGTTACTCTACAGGATGGTCCGTACCTGTCAAGTACAGAACATCATTCTTCATTGGGGTATGTCCGATATCGTTACTGTCTAATGTTAACTCTGTTTTTCCGATTGTTCTCATTGCATGTCCAATCACTCAGTATGTTCATCCGTTATGATAAACCCTATATGAGTACTGATAAGGAGATATTCTGAAAGCTTTAATTTGAAAGCAGCTTAAAAGTGCAAAATAATTAGATTTGATAAGTGTAATTGGGCTTCTAAAATTGTAAACGCATGTCATTTTGCATTAAGTCTGCGTATGGTGCATATTTTTTTTAAAGTAGACATGTCTTTGCACAGGACTCATAGGTCTGGACAACATAAGAGAAAATTAGTGCATGCCACATATTCTTATAAATAAGTTGTACATAAGAACAAGTTTGGACATGTGGTTCCTGCACGAGGCCCATTGCTTGTCCGTATCGACCATACACACAGTTGTCAACAATCTCTCCACATAAACATATATAATGCATTTAGATTAATGTTTTTGTGTTATAAATGTACAGTATGCTGTTACTAAATCTATGTATTACATATACACATTTTCAGAGACTTACAGATGCAGTTACAGTATGTGGTCAGTGTCTCGCTCTGGGACCTGTAATTTATATCATGATGTGTAACAACAGCACTACTTTGTCACCCACAGGTCTGTTCCAGCTAATGGAGAAGAAACATTTCAGCTCTTAGCCAATGGGAAGTTTGAGAAATTAAAGACTCAAATGAGAGCTTCCTGTCAGAGGTCTGACAAAGTTTCACATCAGTTTCAACTGAGCATGCTCCAGGTGAAAAAACTGCAAGAAATAACCCCCTATATTGCTAAATTATGTGTGCCAATATATTTAGAAAATTACAACTATATAATGTAAATGTGTGTTGTCCTACCTAGGTGTCAGGCAGTGGGGACAATATGGTGGAATGCCAGTTGGAAACCCATACCAACAAGATGGTGACATTTAAGTTTGACACTGAAGGGGATGCACCAGAGGACATAGCTGACTACATGGTAGACTGCTTATGTATTACCATCGTCTGAATTACTTGTAAAAATGTCATTCTATGCATTAACAATTGCTGTTTGGTTACATTGTGTTTGTAGGTGGAGGAGGACTTTGTCCTCAATGTAGAGAAAGAGACATTTGTTGAAGAGCTTAGAGCCACAGTTAAGAAAGCTCACGAAATTCTTCAAACACATTCACAGGTATTTTGATTTCCATATTTCCATCTATCACCTTCTCCCCTCTCTTATTTTTTTGTTTTTGATTGAATAACGATGGATTTTAATCTTTATGTATTTATCAGACTGGATCAACTGACCAGTTGCATGTGAGCACTCCCACTAGCTCTTCAGGTGAGTTAGGAATATATTGTTTCTTAGTCACAAAAAAGTGTCATTACAGTATGAGAAAATGCTGTACATTCTATAACCTAACATGTTATGTGTAGTAAATTGTCTTTATGATTTTTAGTGGACTCAGTGCCCCATTCCTCTCCAGTGGGACGCTGGCGCTTCTTTATTAACCAGACCATCCGCCATAGAGACTCTCTATCGAGTCAGGGAGCAGGCACTCCACCACCCACTGCAGAGATGATGATACCTCAGTCTCCTCAAACAGAGAGAGGTAAGCTCTACCCGGGTCACTTTTAATGCTGTGGCTTATTAATATGACTGACATGACAGCATAACAGAAACTAACTATGTGTTCCTCTCTGCGGCTGTAGAAAATGAAGGATCCCAGAGCCTCGAGTCCTTGACGGGCATGGCCTTTTCCCCCTGCCCCACCCTTTCTGCCACCTCCCCTCCAGTCTCCACTGTCTCAGCCCCTGCCTCCATGGTCCCCTCAGCCACCGCTGCCCCAACTCCTCACACCACTGCCTCTGAAAGCATCTCAGCACCAGCCTCCACTCTCGAGGCCTCTGTCACTGCTTCAGGTGCTCTTGAACCGCCAGTCCCCACCTCAGATTCCCTTAACCAAATTCACACTGTTCCCTCATCAATAGCAATACCTGCTGCTAACTTCCCCACCTTGTCCACTGCTCCTATTGTTGTGTTTCCCATACCCACCACCATTCTCCCTGATGTCCTCACACCTCCTGGAAGCAGTGGTTGCTCCACTGTAGGTCAAAGTATAGGGGATACAGTGACAACTGCTCCAAGGTCATATGTGCCTGCAGCAGACCGGTCGTCAACCTCTTTTCATTCCCCTCCTCCTGCTGCTGCAGTGACCTCTTCTACAGTTAGCCAGCTTGGCATGGAGCAGCAGCAGACTCTCACTCAGGTGGACAAACCAGCCCCACAACAACCACAACTACATCCTGCATTACAGCAACAGGTACCAGTAGTTCAACAGCAACTGCAGGCAATGCAGCTTGAACAACAGGCACAACAGATACAGCGGGAAACACCACAGCAACAACAGCAATCACAACATCAAGTGTACCAAGAACAAATTCAGCTGCAGCAGGAACGGGCAATGCAACAGTCTCTCCAGCAGTTACAACATCAGCAACTAATGCAACAACAAATACCACTTCAACAACAGATGACCGAGGTGCAGGTGTTGCCTCAGACAGGTCATACAGAGTTGTTACAGCAGTCTGCGCCTCTTCAGCAGTTTCTGCCACCAATGTCCCTACAGCAGACCCAACAACAACTTATTCAACAGCAAACACCACAGTATTCCCCACAGTTGCTGCAGCAGCCTCAGTTACAACAGATTTCGCAGCAGGTTATGGCACCCCAAGCTGCTGTAGTGCCTCAACAGCAGGCCCACATTGATCACCAGCAGCAGCAACAGTTAAACTTGCAGACAATACTCTTACAGCAACAGCAAATGGTGCAACAGCAGCTCCAGCAGCAGCAGCAGCATCAGCTGTTTATGGGTGCTGTGGCTTTAACACCAGATCAAAGCCAAATGCTGCCCCGGTCAATTAGTCAACAGTTTCTTCAACAACAGGCACAGCTCAGTGTTAACCCTGTACCGCAACAGCAGATTCCACAACAAACACAGATTTCTGCTGAGCTGGTACAACAACATATACAGTCACAGAAACAGCTGCAACACACTGAGCAGCAACAAGAGATGGTTAAAGCCATGGACACACCCCAGAAACAGCAGCAGTTCCCGCTGCAGAAGCAGTCCTCTTTACAGATATCTGAGTCAGAGGTGTCCGCAGGAGAGACAAGTTTCACAGAGGACACATGCAGCTACTCCACCCCTTTCCACCCTTCCTCTGACTCCTCTCTGCCGCCTCTCCATCTGGCCACCGCTGAAGGCCCCGTACCCACTCTCTCCCTCACACTGACACCATCCCCTGCTCAGCCTTCCTCTGTGGCCGAGTCAGACAGTGAAGGCCCCCCCAAAATTGAATTTGTAGATAACCGCATAAAGACTCTGGATGAAAAGCTGAGGAACTTGTTATATCAGGAGTACAGCAGCGGGGCGGCCCTGGCTGGGGGAGCTACCTCTGGCCCTACATCTGCTGCCTCCACATCAGCAGGAGGAGACGAGTCGTCTGAGCCACAGTCGCTCCACCACCTGTCCTTTCCCCCACCTCCCTCCTCCTCAGATACTTCCCCTCACTCATCTTCCTCCTCTTCCTCCCCCACCACCTCCCGTTCCTCCTCTACCTCCCCTGACCCAGAGAGAGATGGCGCAGGAGGGAAAGCTTCCTCAGAAGTGCCCAACTTTGCGGAGATGGGCCCCGTGGAGCAACAGCCTGGCCCATCTCTCCCCTCCATCTCTGCCTCGTCCACCCCGACTACCTCTCTCCTGCCTCCCAATCAGGATGAATCGGCTGGGCCCCAGCGTCCACCTGTACCAGGAGAACCAACCATTCTTGTGAGTGAAAACCACAGATTAGATTTTTGAATTTTTTTTATAAATATTCTCTTTCACCGTACTGAATTTACATTATTTTACTGTTTATATTCCAGTGTATCGCCGTTTAAAGCTGTTATATTTGTTGAGGTTAAATATTTGTGTCTCTCCGTTTCGAACAACTCCATGCAGCCACTCTTAATTGTCTTAACTGTTCTAGGCTGTACCCCCACATTCTGACACCAGTACCACTGGAGACGCATCGTGGCCCCCCAATCAGCACCCGATCCCCCTCCGGCCTGGACACCAGAAGCACAATGCAGGAGGTGGATATTTTGGCCTAAACCTGACATGTCCTAGTATCAGAAATCCTGTTAGCAAGAAATCCTGGACTCGCAAATTCAAAAACTGGGCATGCAAACTGCGCCACTCCGCCAGCTTGTTCAAGAAGCCCACAGTCCAGCAAGGTAGCGTCCTCTTAGGGAGCGAGAGAGAGAGAGAGAGAGAGAGAGAGAGAATGGGTTGTTGGGGCATGGACTTAAATCTAATATCTAGTACTAATTTTAACATAGTAAAATAACTTTCTTAACCATCATATGGATATGATATGAATATCTGTTAATGTCAAAGAATGTTAATGTTTACAGCTAAAGAATCTTGTTTTTGTTTATTGTAATGTGATTATATTCTCAATGCAATGTAAGTGTTGACATCACTACATACATTATTGTTTTCTTTTCTTTGTTTCTTTTCTGAATTCCTTTTTAAATTTCTTGGCAATCTTTCCTTTTGCATGGGTTGCTCACCCTGGGGCGAGAACAGAGGAGAGTAGACGAGGGTTGAAGATTGGCACAGTGTAGGAAGAGGTTGGCATCAGAAATCTGACGCCCATCCCAGTGCAGATGATCTCTGGAGTAAAGCCCAGCAGTGCCTGTGACCATGACATATCCATTCATATGACATCCCTCTTTTTTGCCCCAAATCCGTAAGCACAGACAGCAGCAACCACCTCACCTCCACCTGCCGGCTCAGTGTAGACAGCATCATGCAACTCACGTCATATCACAAATAAGATAGATGCTAAAGTGATATTATGTAATCAGTTCAGAATATGTGTACGCTTTCTATGTCAGTTCCTACAGAATAGCATTGCTCCATGAGACTCTAATATGTCCCATAGTTGTAGATGATGCATTCATGGAGATTACTTCCTCATTTGAATTATTTGTATAAAATATTGAGATTATAATGAAATCATTTCTAGTAGATATTGTGCACATTACCCAGGGCTTATGAGTTACTGTTGTGCATGGGTAGGCTTTTCATACAGCTTAGATTTATCACACTGGTAAAGTATTTCGGCCATTTTGCATGTGTTTCTGTTTCTATGTTTAATATCTAAGCTGTAGCTTAGATCCTTTGCTACAAGTTCACCTGCATGAGCACGCATGTTATGTTCTACACAAGTGACTAATAATGGATTGTTATCTGTAAGTAACACCTATATCAGGCTGCTTATTCATATGTTGGTCTTAAATTATGCAGTGATTATCCATGTGCACCCTTCGCTAATGTAGTAACCCCAAATATCAAACACACTGAACATTATCACTGTGGATCTGAGCACAGATCTCAATGTGATATTGGGCTTTGTTGTCTGGTATATGAGTGGGAATATGGTGAGAATGAGAGAGTGGATGTGTGGGTGGGTGGGGGTATACTGTTGTAAACATTCAACTGCCATTTCACAATGTGTTTTCTTTTAATTTAATAACCTATAATAATTTTTGTTTTTAATGAAACAAACATTTACCACCCCTTCCCACACGCCCATTACACATTTCTCTTAAAGTTGATTTTTTCTTTTACATCCACAAAAAAACATTTATTCTTCATATTGTTTTGTTGTTTATAGTTTATAAAAATGACGGCCATAGAACTCAACATATGATGACACATTTCATATACCTGCATGCAAGTCATTTAACTCACAAAGTTGATGATGTGTAACATTGATGGGTGATTTTTAAAACTGTGCCTTTGTGTTCGTGCCCCACGTCTCTATGTGCATCTGTATGTGTCTCTGTTATGTACATTTTTCTGTGTCTGCTGCTTTTGTGTGTGTCTACCTCGTCATTTATGTGCTCTTCATACTTGTGTCTCTGTGTTCCTTTCTCTGGGTCCTTGTCTCCCCTTTTTGCTTTTCATCGCTGTTTCTTTATCAGATGGAAGTTCCAGCAGTCAGACACTCAGAGAAGAGAAGGAGGCACCACCGCCAAATCCACCTCATTCACGCAAAGGACGATTTCAGGTAGGGGCCATAGTACTGATTTTATCTTACTATAATTTATCTTTCTCAATTAGTCTGAACCGTCATTGCAGTCTGGACAAGCAGGTAATGTGTCCTCTGCCATCAGGTGACTCCAGTGCTCCAGTCCTCTCCCCCAAAGGCTGCGCCATCAGGCCATGGAGGCACTCACAGGAAAGTGGGCCGCTTCTCTGTAACCAAGGCTGAGACTAAGAAAGAGGACAGGCAGACTGACAGCTCCCCAGTGTCCCCTGATTTGGAGAGGGAGAGGAGGAGATCTCGGGCAAAGGACGGAGAGAAAGATGAAAGTAAGAGGACCCCAGCAATGGCTCACCTGCCTCGATGTCATGGACACAGCCACTCACCCCTGGGCAGCAGCGATGATGAGGATGAGTGTGAGCTGGAGGATGAAGACCTGAAAAAAGAACTACACAAGCTCAGAGAGAAGTAAGTCAGTGAAGGGAAAGATTTAACATCATTATTTCAGAGTTCACAAGATATTTGTCTCTCTATTAATTACATTTTCTATTTCATCTCTCCATGATTGTTGTGTCTTGCCTACTGTTGGAGCCATAATGTGGTTTTGTTGTTTTCTTATGTCTTTGAGGGAAACATGGGGTGTGTACACATGCAGTCCTGACATTGAACAGTGGGTGGCACATTAACCTAAATGTGCCTATATGTAAGTGCCTGGTAATGAGGATCAGGTGTGTGTGTGGACGGGAAGCTAACAGTTTTTGACCGTGTCAAGGTGTCTTGTCAAGGTGTCCTGTTATCGTGTCAACGAGTCGTGTCAAGGCGTGTCAAGGTATTGTGTCCATGTAAAGTATCCTGTATTCTGGTACGGTGCCAATATGTATTTGAATAAAAGGATCAACGGATCTAAAGAAAGACAGCGCATTGGACATTGAAATGTTTGTGGAACACGCGTCCGAACAAGTTCTCCCGTTCGCCCTCCAGTGGCTTTAAAATGGATATTTGTTAAAGTCATTACACCTACTTTAATGTTTTAAAACCTTTTTGTTTTGCATATTCATTGTTTTTTTTTTTCCATCATTCATTTTCAGTTCATGATTTTACAGAACCGTTCACCACCTGCTGCTCTGTGGTTTGCATCTCTTCCTCTGCAGGCACATCAAAGAGGTGGTATCCCTTCAGTCCCAGCAGAACAGAGAGCTGCAGGGGCTGTACAGACAGCTTCGTTCCCTCAAAGACCAACGGCATAGTCTGCCTGTCTCTCTGTCCCGAACAACTCCTTTTCCCACGGGACCTCCTGTCCTCTCTCCTCGGAGGCCCAGGCTAGCCAAAATCAAACTCCGGCCCCGGCCTCACTCTCACATGGATAACAACGGAGTCACACACTCTGGTACACACTTTTCTAAATTCTTTCTCTTTCACTTTCTCTTCTTCTGTTGTTTGCTTTCTATTTGAATGTTTCTTGTATCTCCCGTCTAGGGATTCAGCAGTCAAGTAGTTTCTCAGGTGGTGAACAGAGTAGACTGCCACTATACTGCAACCTAGAGCACTGCCCTTCACTGCCTGCAAAAAGAGGTACAGTTTGTCATCAATATATCAAGACAACACAGAATTTATTGACAATCAGTGGTATGATACATGCCCTCATTTTTCCACAGATCACAGTCCTCTTAGAAAAAGCACATTCACAGATGAACTGCACAAACTTGTTGACAATTGGTCTAAGGATACGGTGGAACCCGCTCCGCCCAAGCCTTCGCTGAATCAAATTAAGCAGATTCAGCAGGTGCAGGAGTCAGGAGGCTGGAGTCAGCCGACTGAGGTAGGACTAAGTAATATGCCTTCATTATTGACCACATGTGAAATCAACCTTTAAAATGCTCAGAGGGATTGTTGATGTTTTATCATAAATGCTGATAAGGTTGTGCTTTTCCAAATCACTGGCTCTTTCTCATAAAAGATGTTTATATCATAAAAGATGTTTGTATCATAAACAATTATTAAAAGAAGCCAGACAGCATTTAGTTGGTTCTAATGTGGAGTAGAAAAATAGTTTTGGGCAGAAAAAGCAGAAATATACATACATTTGTTCCAAGAGCCAACAGTACCAACACGTTATTTTTGTGCTGTAATGCTCCCTCCATACTCATTACTATATTCCATACAGGTGGCTCCACCAAGTTGGTTTCCACTGGCACCACTGAACCCCCAGGCACCCCCGACCCCTGCCAGCTTGCCTGTGGCAGCCCCTTCCCAATACACAGGTGGAGGAAGCCTGTCCACCCTAAACTCTCCGGGACCACCACCGCAAACGCACATGGCTCAAGTTCCACAGATGCAGCAAAGTTTACACCTCCATCAGTCTCTCCCCCTCCAGCAGGTGACCTATCAGCAGTCCCCAGTCCGCCAGCAGATACCGCAGCCCCTGATGCAAACTCCCTTACAGTCCCAATCACTATCGCAGACACAACCCATCACCCAACTGCCCCATTCACCACCTCAAGGCCAACCACTGCTGCCTTCCCAAATAGCCACATCTCCAGTGTCCACGGTCGCGTCTCTGCTGCCTGGCAGTGGCACAACTGCACCTACAGATAGCACTGCTGCTGCTGGAGGGGCATTTGGTTCCTGTTCCTCACCCTCTTCAACCGCTTGCTCTACTGCTGCTCTACCTTCCAGTGCCAAAATTCACCCAACACCCCCCACCTCTACTCTTCCTCTGGGACAGAAATAAAACCAAGGTGAAGAGTGAGGTCAATATGAAGGTGCAAGAGATGGAGATACTAAGTGGATCAGGATGTAAAGCAGATCCCTTTGGAGTGCTTGTTCTGTGTATGCATGAGAGAGTTGAGACTGCAATGAATATAGGGATTCCAGTGTACTTTTGGATGAGATGGGGAGTGAATGTGAGAGATGATAGATTATGGTATGTACAGACAGGGGTAACATGGAACACAGCGGCTGGGGTGTGTGAATCATGATATGTTTGTGTGTTAAGATATACAAATTCTTAAATGTATGAGTGTGTGTGTGTGTGTGTGTTTATCAGTGTGAGTGTTTATGGAGTATCCGAGTACATATCCCTAATGTCCTTTTACAGAAATTAATGTTCATGTTTTTGTTTTCAAACCTACTCAGTTGGACCTGAATTCTCCCTAAGCAGAGACAATAAGGACACAATATTTGACAGTGTGTTTAATTTGTCAATGCTTACAGTAAAAAGACTATCAATTTTAAAAGTGCAATTAGTAATGGTCATCTAAATTGATCAGCATGTATTGTATGGATTTGTCTGTAAGGCATAAAATATTTTTGTAGAAGCACATTGATGAAAACCAGATGTATAGAGGATCTTCTAATAACCATTACATGAAACTATAGAACTACAGCACAATGCATTTCAATGGGCAATGAAAAAAAAATGAAACCACAGTATGTTAGTAGAGAAAGGTAAAGTTATCCGGCTACCATCATTACCACAACGCGACCAAACACACTGTTGCAGTGTTGTTCACTGGTACATCATGTGCTTCATTTTTATTATTTTATGTTTCGCAGTTGTAACATGCTGAGTGATGTGACGTAAATTCAGATAAATTAATGATATGACGGTTAATTGAAATATGCCATCTGCATTCAGTGGATACCTGGGTACACTCAGCCCAAGACTGCATGACCTTGTGACTAACTTGACTTGCCAGACTGCCAAACTGCTTGCACTTGCTGTACATTCATGAATCTCACATTTACTATTTGCAGCCTACTGAGATAATTCATCAGTCATGAGTAAATTTGCTATCGGTTCATTTGACATTTTTGCTTTCAGTTTGAGCTCTGCATATCAAAGTATATCAAGGTGTCATGCTGAGGACGAAGATGAAAAAGAAAAAAAACTGCCAAGTTATTATAATCTGGGGAGACCATATGGATTATACCCATATTGCCTTTTAAAATGACGGCATTTTTTGTGGGTGTGTGAGTGTGTATTTTTTCTGTGTGACAAAGCTCTGTGATAGTCGCATGGTATCTTGCATTATAATTTGCATCCCTGTTTCTTTCATTCAAAGCGGCCTCTCAAATGTCACTGTACTCAACCTAAAATGTTTACCCTGCCAATGTGTTGGGCTTATTTCCATAAGAAACACAGCAAGTGAGAAGTCAGACCATATACTGGATGAAAACTTGATGTCCAACACCGTTGTCAGATCCTCACTTGCCTATTTGTCAACTTTGTTTGGCGCTGGACAAATTCCTTGTTTCAATTGTAAACTATTTAGTCTTTGACCATAGGCTGTCAGTGTGAATGCATAACTGTGGGCCATAAATGTGCTTTATGCACACTGCAAAAGGTTTACTCAAGTCAGAAATGTCCCAATCCTCTATTTCTTAACACATCATCTTGAGATGCAGAGATACACAGAGTATTATATCAGTAGTGGATATATTACCTTACATTTTATTGGGTTATCAGTGCGATTAGCCAAAACACATTTGGCCAAAAAAAGGTCATTTTGGCATAATAAGTAGCCTGTAGTCAAAGCAGCATTTGTGTTTTATTAATGATAGAGAGACTGTATGCCCCTGAAAACAGCAGATTGTTCTGGTTGTTGACGACTGCTACATGTGAGTCAAAGACATTTAAAACATGAATGGTTAAGGAGGACGAGTTTCTGCTAAAGGGTACGGTTGTTCAGAAATGGCATAATCTAGAATATAACAACGATTTTCTGTATTTTTCAAGACAACCCGCATTGTCACAGAGATGTAGTTCATTATTAGTGAAGGTGAGATACTGTGCTGTCATGTCTGATACTAACATGTTGACTGCAAGCTACAGCTTAACGGTCATGATTCATGATGTGGAACTGGCTTTGTCCTTGAAGTGTTACCAAAATGTTATCTAAAAGATTAAAATTATTTTTGTATTTTGAAATGGGGTTGTACAAATTGTAAAAATGTGTTCTCATTATTATAAATATGAGGTTATTTGAAACTAGAAAACACTGGTTTTCATCTGTGTTTACATGGGACTTCCCTATCTTGATATACCTCTCTGAGTCCTGTCAGGCCAAGGTCATATAAGACTATATTTAAAGAAGTTTTGATCATTTTGACATCTTATTCCAGTTTTGAACCATGACAACCTGTAAGATACATAACGTACTTACATAAGTCTTCCTATTAGGATTTAATTCACTCACAAATTAATGCAACACAAATCTGGGGAGTCCCACATGGCATGACTGAGAACCAATGATACAAGTACATTTGGGCAGAGTAACCTCTAAAAATAAAGTATGTTGCTGGTGATATAGCCTTTGTAAATTGCAACTAATTCAACTGTTGATTTTATTTATGTTTTGTAACTAATCAAAATAAATGATGTAAAACATGAAAGTAAAATGGTGTGTGGATTTTTTATATTTAGCTTGGCAAAACAGGGTACTTCTGCAACCCACAATGACTTCATGTGGATGTTTGAGGTTTAGTTTAGTTTATTTCACAAAATTCCAAATACAGTAGTGAAAAAACAAGCGTAAAATACATTGTCAGGAATAACGACAAAGTAAAGGACTTCTTTCCTTTGTGGTCACTGTTTAATCAGTTCATCCTCACCACAACAAGATGGAGACAGCCATACATAACTAAATAATTCAATAAATTAATGAAAAAGTAAATTAAAGGGTGTGCAGTCTGAGATGCATTCAATTACTCCTAATGAGTTTCCCCCCTCTTTTAGACGGATTTATTTTCTAAAAAATGTATTTTGAGGTGTTATTTAATCTACTTTACTTTTTTTAAGTGTAGTGTGTAATACTATATTATACTATACAAATACTCTAGATAAGATAAGCTGATCGGGTGTATTGGGTGTTTGCATGATTAGACTACATCTCATATTCTATTGGGCCTGCCAATCCATAAGGTCTTGACTGACAAACTTTCTATACTGACAAAAAATAAATCCTGGGATGTAAATTTTATTTAAGATCATGTGAAATTTATGAATTTATGAATGTACTTGCGTGTTTATTAATTAGTACATTTACTGACATGTATTTGTTTAACATTATTATTACAAATAAAACGTTTTTTGCAGGTTAATGAAAAGCTATGGTAGCCTATTTGACATGTGTCTGCAGCTTTGTTGCCGGACAAACGTTGCTCAACGTTTTTTCCTGAATGCAACTCCATATTAGACTTTCTTCAACTTTATTGTTCTTTCAATAGCAGACAGCGACCAACGACCGTCTGACGCTACAGCCTTTGAAATGGCGTTGATGTAGTTCAATACGCCGTTATTTTGTAGTTATTGTACTCGTTTTGGTTGCTTCATATTTAAGTTTTCTGGTCAAGTTTAAACTTCTGGACCTGGCCTCTGTATTTGGGCATTACGGAATTCATTAACAAAAATTGTGGTAAAGCAAATTGTTTATAATTTACGTTGCATAATAAGGCCGCAGCTACCCCCGAGTTTGCGTAGGGATTACAACGGCTTTTGTATGCTTGGCCTACCGCAGCTAGATTTCGGTGAGTTGCTAGCGTTAAATGTCGATGAAGATAACAAACGACACTTCTTTGTTTGGCTTAAATGTATCAGCTGTGTTGGGTGCGTTTCCTTCATGTTTAAAAGCTAAATTAATTGCACCAGCCGTTCTCTTTTTGTAAATTAAAGTTGACACATTTCCAATCGCTTAGGTTAACTTCATCGGTAGCTATTATAGCTAACGTTAGCTTACTTGCTAAACACATTAGCTAGTGCTTTGCTAGCAATACAACATTCACGTTGCATAGCGTGTTTACAAACAGTGAGCTAACGTTACTATGGCCAGCTGGCTGCTGTTAACAACTAGCATTAGTTAGGATAAGCAAAATGTTTCTAATACAACATATTGGAGTGAAATAAGAGAATTGTTGCCTCTTCAATAATTTAACGTTATTTGAAGAATATGGAATAGTGATACCCTTATGATCATTGTTATATTACCGAAACGACTTATTTTGTCAGTTAACTTAAGTCGCATCTCAGGTGGCAGGAGTAGCTAATGTGTTTCTCAGCACTGAACATTACGGACCAATGAGCTGTCAACGTCAGTTAGTTGCATTAACGAAGTGACTTATGGCAAGATATTGACATATATTTTCCTTTTTGTTGTATGTCAACAGGTTTCCAAGTGAATCCCGGTGGACTTGTGTATCAGTAAGGGGGATCTGGAAGTGAAGTCAAATACAACAATAACATTACCCGTGCTTACGTTACATAATTAATACAGAATTTAGTTTGTTAAATAGTCCCTCCCCCCTGAGTTAGATTTCTTCCCCCACACACAAACACTCAATATGGCATCTGTGCCACTCTACTGCTTGTGTCGCCTTCCATATGATGTGACACGCTTCATGATCGAGTGTGACATTTGTCAAGACTGGTTCCATGGGGGGTAGGTCTTTTTCAGATCAAACACTGCGTTGATCATATTGTTGTCACTGTGTAATTGGATTCAACTATTACGTTGAGTGAATTATGATGTGGTTATATCTGTTATCCTAGTTGTATGTTTCTTGTGGGTATAGTTAGTATTCGACCCACCACAGTTCATTCAGCTATCCTTTCTACACGCTCTTTATTTTATATACGAATGTTTTCTGTGTAGCTGTGTTGGAGTGCAGGAGGACAAAGCAGCTGAGATTGACCTGTATCACTGCCCCAACTGTCAGGTCACCCATGGGCCATCTGTCAGTAAGTTACCATTCCTTTAGTACACATTTCTTGAATTGTTATGATCTTATTGGTTTACTTTTACATAAAAACAGGTGTTGATCTGTATTCTCTGCCTCTCCTTTTCTTAGTGCGCAAACGCCGTGGAGGCAATAAGCATACAGATGCTGGTGCTGCTCCAGTAAGAGATCCAAGTCGGCCTGTTAAGACAGGCAGCTCTCAGTTTGTTAGGGAGCTACGGAGCCGCACCTTCCCAGGGTTAGTCTCCTCCTGCAAAGGTCACAAGTTTAAACATATATTTTATATTTATGTTTTTTCACTGACCATCCTCCAACTGTTTCTGCTCTTATGTTGGTTGGAGAGCCTATGCCGTCCTGTAATGTAATTGTTAAGCACTCTGTTTTGAATAGTTTCTCCCAGTGATCACAATCAAAACGTGTGCATATGTCTGTTTGTGTTCTACGACAGTGCGGATGAAGTCTTGCTAAAGCCGTCTGGGGCCCAGCTGACCGTTGAGTTCCTGGAAGAGCATTCGTTCAGTGTTCCTGTCATGGTGCTGAGGCGCGATGGCCTAGGCATGACCCTTCCTCCAGCGTCATTCAATGTCAGCGATGTAGAGCACTACATCGGTAAAGTTTTTACTACTTAATTCAAATATATGGATCTGCACTGATTCATGTTAAGATGTTAGGGCTGACATGTATTAGGGACATTCAGGTTTGTTTTCTCAAACTTTTTCTTTTCTTTTCTTTGCAGGTTCAGACAAACAGATTGACGTGATTGATGTGTCTCGCCAATGTGACCTGAAGATGCGGTTGGGAGACTTTGTTGAATACTACAACAGCCCCAACAGAGAGAAAGTGCTCAATGTCATCAGCCTGGAGTTCTCTGAGACCAGGTACACAAAGATATACATTTCACTGACCGTTCAGTTTGCCATTATGAAGCAGTGTCTTGTTACTCGAGTATACTGTTTAATTCTCTATCTATTCAGTTGCTCTAAAAAAACGAAAGAAAAAAGAAAGACATGGAAATCCATCGTTTTAAGTGAAGTTGTGTTTGGTTCGAGTTAGGGTTGAAGTTATGTTTTTGAAGACTAAATATTATCGCTGGACTTGTTTAAGGCTCTCAAACCTGGTGGAGACTCCAAAGATTGTGAGGAAACTATCATGGGTGGAAAACCTCTGGCCTGAAGAGTCTGTGTTTGAACGCCCTAATGTGCAGAAGTACTGCCTAATGGGAGTAAAGGACAGCTACACAGACTTCCACATTGACTTTGGAGGCACTTCAGTGTGGTACCATGTCCTGAGGGTGAGAACCAAAATGATTTCAGTCCTGTTTGGGAAGTTTCAGTTGCACTGATTGTGAAACATTTTTTTCTTTTCAAAAAAATTTTTTTAAGAGCTTGTCTCTCTATGTCTATTCAGGGCGAGAAAATCTTCTACCTAATTTCCCCCACTGCAGCCAACTTGGCCCTTTTTGAGCGGTGGAGTTCCTCATCCAACCAGAATGAGATGTTCTTTGGAGACCAAGTTGATATGTGTTACAGGTGCTCTGTCAAACAAGGAAACACCTTGTTCATTCCAACAGGTGAGCTGTCAGGCTTCTGTTTGTTTGGGTAGTTCAGGGTTTTAGCATAGTTGTAATAGTCAAGCAAGTCTGAATCAAATCATGTTTACACTTTTGTCATTTGTTTTTCTTCCAGGATGGATTCATGCTGTGCTGACTCCAGTGGACTGCGTGGCCTTCGGAGGAAACTTCTTGCATAGTCTCAACATTGAGATGCAGCTACGGTAAGTTTCCTCAGAACTGTTTCCATGTAATGTCATTGTGGCCCTTTTTCACTGAAATGTTCTTTGACTATTATTGACATTCTCACTAGTCTATAAGAGCAAGAAAAAGACCAAAAAAACTTAATTTTACTTGCTAATTGTTTGAATGCAATTACACACTAAAAAGCAGAAAATTAACCAGGAAAAAATAAAACACTTGGCAGATCCCTGCTGCATTTGAGACAGCCAATTGCCTTTTTGGTGTTCTCTCCCACATCATACTGTAATTTGCTTGATCTTTATGACTCTTCAGACAAACTCAAACATAACTGCTCCAAAGGAACTTTTAGCCCTTAGACCGTTGTCGAATGTTGTTCCTCACTTCGCGTTCCTAAGGCTATTGCTGTTGCTAAATCTGCAAGTTTGTGGCAATAACCGCTAATGTCTGACTTTCCCTGTGCTGTGTTATCATTTTTAGGGCATATGAAATAGAGAAGAGATTGAGCACAGCAGACTTGTTCAGGTTTCCCAACTTTGAGACTGTGTGCTGGTATGTTGGAAAGCACCTTCTTGATACCTTCAGAGGTGAGGGAGTTCAATGAATTTCATAACATCCATGTCGTGTGAACTACTCGAGTGGCCTGTGTTTACTGTATGTCATTTAGATATTATTAACCCTGTGCTATTCTGTCTCTCAGGTTTGAGAGAAAACCGCAGACAATCTGCCACTTACCTGGTTCACGGAGCTAAGGCCTTGAACACCGCCTTCCGCACCTGGACCCGTAAAGAGGTTGGCAAAATCTTATCTTGTCTTTTCCTTTTTGTACATCACTCTTTCCTCTCTTCCCTCAATGTTTCCTTACTTAGTTTATTGTCCTCCATAACTCATTTTGAAATAGGCATGCTTAGATCTGTTTTATTTTGCTTCAGACTGCATGCCAGCTCCAACATTATTATTACACAAAATCATATCTTAATGTAAATCATCACATAAAAGTATTTGATTTGAAAAATGGGTAATGCACATTTTTCATCTCACAGGGCAACATTGAATTGTAACATTACTGGCATTTTGGAAAATACGCTTGTTCACTTTCTGGCTGAGAATAAGAACATTATCACCACGCTCATATCTGTCCGTCAAATATGAAGCTACAGCTAGCAGCAGGTTAGCTTAGTTTAGCACAAATAATTCCTACCAAAAGCTCACTAATTTGTTAGTTTGAGGAGTATAGAAATGATACGTTATGGTTTTACAGGGGGTTATTTGTCTGACTGTTTTTTATTTTACACAATCAAGCTATAACGTGTTGATTAGTGAGCTTTGGAAGTGTTGGTAGGCAGAATTTGTTCCCATTTCTCCGAGCCGCACTAGCTGTTTCTTGTTTCCAGTCTTTGTGCCAAGCTAACCGGCTGCTGGCTGTAGCTTCAGCAAACGGATATGAGAATGATATTGAACTCAATTTAAAATGCCTTGTTTTGTTCACTATAATATTAGATATAACTGCAACATATTGTGTGAGATGACTGATCGTTGTCTTCCTACACTCAGGCTTTAGCAGATCATGAAGTGGAGATTCCAGAAACCATCAACACTCAGACGCTAGTGAAGGACCTGGCCAAGGAGATTCGTCTGGTTGAGGTAAGTGATAGAATAATTGAAAGTTTGTGCATATTTTTAGCTTTGTTTTTGTTTTGTGAATGTGTTTATACAAATACTATTATTACTTTTTAGTTTTTACTCACTAGATCTCTCTCTCGATCTCTCTCGATAGGACATCTTCCAGCAAAACATTGGCCGCACTGGACCTCAGTTTCCTGGTTCGCCACTCTCCAAAGCTCCTCTGACCACCTCTCAGAATTCAGGACGCCCCCCTGGAAAAAAGAAAGGATCCAAGCCCAAGGAAACGATGGGGGGTCTCGGGCCCCCAGTAACCAAGAAGAAGGGTCAGAAGGGGCTACTTAAGGCAGAAGCAGGAGAAATTGACCTCATTGAGATCCACACCAAACATACACTCAAAAAATGTCAACAACAAAAGTCCAAAAACAAGAACAAGGTACGCCATTTGCAGACAGAAACATCCCCAAATGCTTTTGAAATTGAACAAATGGAATGGGAATGCTTATCCAGTATTTAGTTTGGCTCGACTGTTTCATCCTCATATTTTCTTACAATTCCTATCTGTCTTTCCAGCTGGAGTTGCCTTTAGATGAGTTTAAAGGGAAGCTAAATAAAAGCAAGCTGAAACTTGTGCTGACCAATGGAAAACTCAAAGGGTAAGAAGCTTTGCAGCCATTTGGTGTGTTTCTATTACTTTTGTGATCTTATGGTCTTCTAAAGGTTTTGGTTCTTATCTGCTGATCCTTTTGGTTTTAGTAAGAAGGACGGCAGCAGTAATGGTGCAGGAAGGGCGGGAAAGTACAAACATCTGGCCATGGAGGGATCCAGTCTGTCGGACTTGGAGTCCGAGGATGAGCTGCAGATTGACGAGACCCCTCCGCCACGACGCAAGCCTGCAGGACCGAGCAAGAAAAAGAAACTAAGTGGTGAGACTTTGACTTTAAACAAGAGTTTTATGAATGCTTAAAGTAAGGTGCATATATTCGTTTACCCACCAGTAAAGTCGATGTGAGATCAGTATAGCTATTTAAACACTTGGAGTGTTTGCTAGATGTAGAACCTAATATTAAGTAGTTAGGTTACAGCAGCATGGTAGCTTTAAAACCACACTGTGTTAAAATTGTCTTTCAGGTCTCCCGAGGAAGCTGCCCAGAGCCAAACCCTGCTCTGACCCCAACCGCATCCGGGAGCCAGGAGAGGTAGACTTTGACATTGAGGTGAGATTTTTATGGATACACAAATCACATTTTCCGTAGCCAGTTGTGAATGCCATCTGTAAGGTGTTGTAGCCTGTATCAGCAAATCAGTCCCTGAAGAAAAGATTGACTCCACACAGGCCATTGCAGGATACAGCTGGAAAGAATCTGTGATTGTGACAACATTATGGCTTTAAGTGCATTTCATACCAAACATAGCAGGTTCTACTTCCAAGCTTAGCATCTATTATGTCACAGCTCATCACAGATTATGTTGGTTACATTCTTGTTGCTTGCTTGTATTGACTTTACATTTATGTTTTTCATTGAGTCAACATAGACTCTTTCCTCTGTCCCAACGAAATAAAGTTTACTGCATAATAATCAGTGATAAACTGTAGAAATGTGACCGGAATGAAAGACTATTTACACGTTTCCGTTTGTTTATTATGACGCATGCCATGCATTATCCACCAGAACATTATTTTGTACAGCACTAGTTCAATACTAACGATAGCATGTTTATGCTTGTGGCTTCAGGAGGATTACACCACAGATGAAGAAGCACTAGCCGCCCACGGGGTAAAGGGTGGCGCAGGGGGCATTCTGGACTTATTGAAGGCCAGCAAGCAAGTGGCAGGCTTGGACTCTGCAACACTCAGGTTAGAACTCTTTTATTATTGTCTTTATTGAACTCTCAAATTCAGGAAGTCTTTGATGGTATCTCAGAAGTTCCTCGGTGTTTGAAGCTATATATCTGAAGCACACTTCCTTAACTGTGGATACCTGCGACAAGAGCAATAGTTTATAATAAATGCCTCACTGTGTTGTTGTAAGAATCCAATAACCTTTGAAACTTTCGTAGTTCACATATTTGCAATGGCTTTGATACTATGCTATGTTTAGGAGGTTATTCTTGAGATGCTGAGTGATTGCTCAACTCTGTCCTTCTCAGTGAGGAAGCCCCAGCCTCTCCAAGTACTCGTGATGCCATACAGGGTATGCTATCCATGGCCAACCCCCCTTCCTCGTCCTCATCTTCCTCCTCTTCATCTCCCCTATCCATTTCTGGAGGCCTGACAGAGGGATTAGGGGTGGTCAAGGAAAAGGGTGGCAAGGCTGTATGGGTGACTGGAGGGGTCAAAAAGACAAGAACTCCTGAGAAGAAACCTGTCATCCAGCGGCCGGGGAAACGACCAATCAAACGGCCAGCCCGTCACATCAGTGATGAGGACAGTCCAGACGAGCAAGAGGCTCTGGGAACCTGTTTTAAAGATTCAGAATATGGTGAGCGAGCAATACACTCAATGACTAAAACCTGCTGCCGTGCAAATCAATGATAGTCAGAGCACTCGCTGCTTAATTATGGTAATCCATTCTTTGTTTAAGTTTACCCGTCCTTGGAGTCTGATGAGGAGGACCGTGCTAACAAGGCTAAGATGAAGCGGAAGAAAAACTGGGATGACACTCCTTGGAGCCCAAAAGGTACCTGACCTTGAACATATTGGCTAAGACGGAACTTAGTGCTTTTTAGCTCTCTGAGGGTTGATCTCTTAACAATGTGTTTTCATTTATAGCCAGGGTGATGCCCACCCTACCTAAACAGGACCGACCAGCCAGGGAAGGGGCTAGAGTCGCATCTGTAGAAACCGGACTTGCCGCAGCTTCTGCCAAGCTGGCACAACAAGTGAGTTGGGAAACAAAGCTAATTGGTCTTTGAAGTCTGTGCCCAGTGAATATTGTGGAGTAGAGGCATGTGGCGATAACAGAAAATTACTTTTGATTCTTTTTTAAAAATTTTTATTATAACCTAGGAGCAGCAAAAGCCTGCAAGAAGGAAGTACACCAAAAAGCAGCGTCCTCCAGCTCCTGTAGCCCCTCCCCCCCCTGTTCAGACTGAGCCAGCCCCACCCTCACCCCCACCTGCTCCAGAGACTGGAGCAGACTTCAGCCCAGACAGGAGGATGGATTATTACTCTGCAAGTCTGCAGGACCACGAATACACTGCAGGGCCAGGACCATTTGGCCCTGGAGGCCCTAGAGGCAGTGGAGCCATGGCCCCTGGTGTATTCCTCACTTCACGCCGACCCTCACTTTCTCCACAGAACAGCAGCTCTCACTCTGGTACATCCCCTGCAGGTTTAGCCAGCCAAGGCACAACAGGAGTTGGCCAAGGTAAGCATAACTGTAAAGCATTGACGGCATCATTTCATATCTCTGTGGTGGCATTTTTTCTCATGTATTTTCCCCTTTCATTTTTATTTTAGGGAAACGTCCAAAGAAAGGACTTGCAACTGCAAAACAGAGACTTGGAAAAATATTGAAAATACATCGTAATGGCAAACTTCTCTTGTGAGAGATGTTGGAAAAGTTGCTGAAAACTTAAAAGTGGGAATGAAGAAAAAGGCTTTTGTGAAGTAGGTCTTAAATAAATAGAGATAGTGATCTATATTTTGTATTCTATATAAATGTGTTTCCTGTTTTCAGCTGTTATAGAACCTCACTATATCTTGTCTTGTACACCATTTACTCTGCCCATTTATCCATATCTGCTAAAAAGGTATTTCAGAAGCTTATGTGTGACTTTAAAGAAATGGTAAGTACCTCGTTATGATCACGTGCCATTTGACTTTGGAAATTGTGACGCACATTTCAAAATGTAGGTGGACTTAGATTTAACTAGCATGATAAATTTACAAAACCCAATTATTTCTTTTATTTAGGTAATTTTTAGTGGTTCTACTGATGCAAAGACATGCTGTCCATCATACATTTCAAAAAGGGAAAGAAAAACAACACAGTTTCTAGTCCGGTAAAATGTAATGGGGTTTTTTTCACACACTTTTTTTGTCTGATGATTACAGGATCTCAATGTTGACACAAAATAAACAGTTGTGCAAAGATCCAGTGTATGCAAATGGTCAGCAGCACCTAAAATGCTACAAGCATAAGTTATTTTTGAGGGATTTGTCATGTTTGTACAACTCATTTTCCTCCATAAACTGTAGCTCTACATATGAAGTTCAAAGCACTCAACTGATGCCAAGAGTAACGTCATACAGTTCTATTTATTGTGATCATATTTATTTTAACATCTCTCAGCTTGTTTTAACAAGGTATGCTTTACCACGTCATCGTCTTGGTCCCTACTTTAATTATTTTCAACCACTTAATACCTGTACAAAAATTGTATTCATTACTTTGTTAGATTTTTTTTTTTTTTTTTTTTTTTTTTCTTTTTTTTTTTTTACAGTTTGTTGTCACTGTAAATATTTGTAATATTTGTAATTTATATAGCTACATTGGAGGAGCAGAAAAACTTTATGCGATAAAGAGACTAGTTTCCTGCCATAATTTGTACCCCAAGTTTTGGCAGCAACCTTGGGCCAGATCTTTACATGGAATGCACTGGTTCTAAAATGTCGGCAGAAGTGTAGATTTAACTGTGTGAGAACATTGTGACGGTGCAGGACATAAGTTGATATGTAAATATATGTTGTAATTTAAGTTCTTTTATAGTTCAAACACTTTGAAATCTTTCTTAACATACCTTGTACATGATACATTGCTCTATTTGGAAAATATCTGAAATAGTTTTTTTTTATATTTGTACGCAGTTATTGTCTTGCTGCTTAGTTTGTCATGTCTTGTCAGTGTAACAGTGAAAATGTTCTGGAAAAAATGCCCTTGTTTAATTTCATTCATTAAGTTTTTTTTTTTTTTTGTTTTTATTAACTATTGTTGATTTTCACTCTTGTGTTGGTGTGTATTGTGTTATCAACATGATGTGTTTCAATACAACCTGGAAAAGATAAAATATACATTGGGCAAAATTTCTTTTTTTTGTTGATTTTATTTTAGGACCACCAAATCAGTATCTACTGTCTATCTACTACTACTGCTACTACTCTCTAATCTACTGGAGAACTTTGTGTCACCCACAAGTGGGATTACGGTAATTAGTGGAATATATTGGAAAGTTGTCATTAAGACACTTAATATTGTGTTGTATTAAACACATGATTTTCTTTCAAATGAAAGTACAATTTGATATAATTAAGTCACTTTAGATTTTACTTGAATTAGTGGCGCCTACAGTTTTTCCTCAGTTTTTTTTTTTTTTTTTGTACAAACTATTGTACAATTACTTTCACATTTAAAAAATATTTTCATTGCTCAACTTTCCCAGTCCAAGTAGGGGTTAAATGCATTTGTTATATTAAATGTCCAAATTGTCAGTGAGTTTGAATACACTTTAATATTAAATTGAATTAAAATATGTCATAAAACTCCGCTTTCGTGTGCACATCTAATCAGAAGGTTGAGGCTGTAAATACCAGTAATAAGGCCGTATGCCCGCTTTCAAACCCAGACCCACTGGGTTACAAGGGAGTGCCCTGGGTAAACGCAGCAGCAGGTATTCTCGCGAGATCCAAATTGCCCTACCACTCTAGTGCAAGATGGAGAAGCAAATGTAACACGCATTCGAGGTAAGCAGAAAGAATAATTCCATAGTATTGCCATTGGTTTTAGCTAACTGGTGGCATACATGTATCTTCCTTAATAACTGCAATCGATGTTTCACAACCGTCACTCCGATCCGAGACTACAAAACTAGTGTATTTTACGGCTAAACTACGGATCCTATGCTACGTAAACCGCCATTTTTAATTTAGCCATGATCCCACTGATAGAGCATTGTGCGGGGCTCACACTGCTAGCTAGCTAGTTAGCTCGCGCGAAACCCGCAAACATACACGCCACACGCAGACATACTCGTGTTTACTGTGTGTGGGTATGTGCCTCTCTGTTCAAGTTGAAGTCTAACTGGTACCCCTGTTTAATGGCTATCCCGTTTCATCGGGAATGATGATACAATTAACCGGTGAGAGTCAAAATGTGTGTTGGGTTATTTGACTTTTCGTAATCTGCTAGCGTAAACGTTAGCCGTTAGAGCCGAAGTAACTAACGTTAGCCTGAACACCTAGCTAACGTTACCTAACTAGCGTTAGCTGTTAACTTTGCTAACGTTTGCGCCACCATTGGCTTAAGCGTAACTGCGTAACGTTCGGTCGCTACTTCAACAATATTGGCAGACAATGTGAGTGGATTTTACATGGTTACAACTATCCTCACGTTTGCTTACTGGGGAGTGATAAACGAGTTCGTGTAGTTAGCTAATGGTACATAAACTAAGGCACTATCCACGGCCATTAATGTCACTGTATTGTATGATGCAGATGATCAAACCTGTTCACAACGCCAGTGTTAACGTTAATGCAGCGTTGTTTGTAGATGTAATGTTCAGGGAGATGTCGTAAATTAAGTGATAGTCAAATATACTTACAACCACGAACGCAGATCATATTTACATGTCTTTGAAAGCAAGTTGTGATGCCTTTCCGTTAACACAGCCAAAATGATTTTAATATAAACTTAACAAAGTGAACATGTCAGCATCCCGTTTGGTTCTTGGTGACAAGGTTTTTATTTGTCCTTGTACGACAGGGTTGCACAACGACATTTAGACAAACTATATTACATATGGAGGGTGGAGAATGAGTGTTAAGTAGTCTCGCAGCCAGAGAAAATAAGCTGTTTTGAAGTCTTGTGGTTCGGTAGCTGATACTTTTGCATCTCTTTCCAGCGAGGTGAACAGGTTGTGGCTGGGTTTTGTCTTTTAATATCCCCGTAGCTCTTTGCAGGCTCCTCTTCTCACCAATATCACTGATGCTCAGTAGATGTGTGCCAATGAAGTTCTGGGTGGTGTTGATCACGCGCTGTAGAGCCCTCCTGTGCTGTGCCGTACAAATCCAATGCCAGTTTGTAATGTTGGTAGTCATGATGCTTTCTATTGCTCCTCTGTAAAAGTTAACCAGAACTTGACGAAGGAATTTTGCCTTCTTAACTTTCCTTAAGAAATACAGCCGTTTATTAGATTTCTTCCCCGGGATGGAGGTGTGTGATGACCATGTCAGGTTGTTTGTGATGCTGATTCCCATCAAAAACGTAAAGCTGCTAACTTGCTCCATTGCTGTAGCAGGGGTGTGCAACTTCGCCTCCTTTTTTTTTCTCAAATCAACAATCGGCTCCTTGGTTTTACTGACATTGAGCAGTAGGTTTATCTCTGAGCACCACTGTGCAAGGATGTTGATTTCCTCTCTATAAGAAGTCTCATCGGTGTTTGTAATCCGGCCGATGGCGGTAGTGTCATCTGCAAACGTCACAACAGAGTTGTCTTCATGTTTGTGGTGACTTGACAACAAGAGTGAACTTGTGGCAGAGAGTGCTGCATTGATTTATTCTGTGAACAATGGCTGAGTTTATTAATTCATACCAGTCCTTGGTAGCTGGCACACTGAAGTTGATCTTCTGGTGACCAGAGGCTAACTTTAAAGCTCAGGCAGCTGATAAGTGGACCTGAAAATGTATGAGCATATACAACACGTTTGGGGCACCTTAGTTAACTTGCATAGAGTCATACTATATGTGTTGTGATTTTAATTCTAGGTTTGAAAGAAGATAGTCGCATGCTCGGAGCCAAGATGCAAAAAACGATTACAAAATGTACCAGCGTTTAGACATGTCAGCCTTCTTCAGGGTGTTGAGGTGATATTATGCAATCATTCATGTTCCAGACAATTTAGTGATGGTGTTGACCTACAATTCAGAATGCAGGTTGTATCAAATGAAGCAGTTGGTCATTTATAACGACACATGCAGACTATTGGAATTGTTTTTATTGTCCCAACTAAGGCATGTACATGCATAGCAAAAACAAGTCCGAGTTGGGATTTGAACTTGTCAATGGCAGGAAAAAGCCACAGTTAAAATAGTTTTAATATAAACATCAGGAAAAATGATTGTTAAACAGTATGTAACTGATGACAAGACAACATTTAGCAGTTTTAATAGAGCTCTGCTTCCCGCTGGCAGTAAAAGTGCCAATAATCAAGCTGCTTGATTTTTCTTTCATATCTGATTTGAGTGTTTGTGTTTCCAGATTGTTATAAGAAACTGAAAAGCAAGCCAAGGATGAGAATGGTGGAGTCATTGAACCGAAGCTGTTTCTGGTATGTACTGCTAGCTAATTTACTAGATTGACTAAAACTGTTCTGGTGAAATGCATGAATTTTTTCCACACAGGAAGTAGCAGTGAAATGAGGTATATCAATATTTTTGTTCAGTACACTGCCTTATGTTATTTTTATTCCTTAATAATAATAATAATAATGAAGGATTTTGTAGCTTCTCAGGGACATTTTATTTTCATTTTTGAATATTATACTATCTGATATCTGAGAGTAACAAAGAAACAATCTGTAAAAGATGTTTATTTTTTACAGAAACGCAACTATTATCCCTAAATATTCATAAATCTTTATTTCAAATAACCTAGAGTGCAGTTTAGTTTTGCACACCTACCAGTATACATGACAATGTCAATTTCTTTTGACAAGCCAATATCAGTTAATATTGCAGCATTGTCTCTTAAGAACAAGGCAATCATTCCTTGCGATAATCCATAGATGTTGTGAAGAGTATTGAGTGGGTTTACATCTTCTGTAATGTATCTAACGATAAAGCAAGGAATCTTTGTCTGTGTGTCCTTCGCATATCTTGAGAATCTGGTGCGATTTAGACACGTCGAGTATTAATAAAGTGTTCTGTGTAGCGTGGGGGCTTCGGAGTCCAGCTTGTCATCCTCACCGGGCAGACCGCAGCTCAATGGGTGCTTTTCAATATGATAACTTATGCTTCCTCACGTTCTTGTTCCGTCTGCAATCATGGAGGATCTTCCAATCCATTGAATGTCCCTTGAAGGGATGAGGGCAGAGGAGGCTTCTAGAAGAGAGAGCAAGGAAACACCGGTCTATCCTTTGTGGATGTCTTTTTGGCACATAAAAGAGGCGTGACACACAGCGGGAATAATTTCAACACAGGCAGGACTCTAAAAATGTAACTGTATTCATAGGTTGCAGTTATTTAAGATGATCAAATACACGATCAAACTTTCTGCCATTTGTGTAGTGCTGTTCTAACCGCATTCCTCAGTGACATTTCACCTTGAATGTATGCCACATCCAATTCAACTGCTATAATCATGACATGATTTTTACAAATATAAACAGCTGTTGTAGTCAGATTATTATATAAATAACAACATTCAAATTTGTATTTCATGTTGTCATATAGATAGACAGGAGTGTGTGTATATTATATATATTATATATATATGTGTGTCAATATTTCAGTTTTCATAACCACATTTATACTCAGACAGAAATCGTAAAGAGGTTATTAAATACAGCAGCAACACAACAATGGACAGATGATGCAGCTGTGTCACACATCCTATTTACTCGACGTCTTAAAATGGCGGCAGCGAGGCAACGATGTCTCATTTAGTTAAAGGATCAGGGCCTCAACTCCTCTCTCTTCCTCACCTTCTCCGCTCTATCTCTTGTTTGTGAATAAGACGCGAATCAAGGACACATGCTAGCATTTTGAAAAGAACCCATTGACTGCAGTTCACTTTACAGTCGAATTATTCGTCACTTCACTTTGGAGTCAACATGAGCAGATAGCCAACTGGAAGCACAATCGAACCAGAGTGTATTTCACTTGTGTGACTGCGAGTAAGTTGGGACTAGGGTGTGTATTTTCCTGGTGTATGACTTGATACTAGCTTATAACACTAATAATATTACTGCCAGCAAAATACCTCCGCTACTTAAATCATCTGCTCTACGTTATAACCTCGCCGGTTATGTCAAAACAAGTGACTAATATGCCTATTTGGAAATAACCTCCACTAAGTGTATATTTCAGACGTTCCTGACTTAACAGTGACTTTTGGTTGAGTAATAACTTAATAGAGGGAGGCATTATCGACACAATGTACTTGCATTCACTATACATCTGTTCAAGGTGGAGCTTTTAATTCTAATATGACACTAGATAGTTTAATGAATAATAATGCCTTATGTTTGAATTGTTACATTGTGTGAGTCAAATTTGTGTCTGCAAAGCCACCAGTAAAATCTTTCTGTGTGCTTAATGTAGTACTACAACGTTTTCCTCTGAAGCAGAAGTACACATTAGGTAGTAGAGGCCTTTTGTAAGTTATTTGGGTGTGCAATGAGTTGGAATGTAACATAATTCAATATTTGTCATATCTAAACATCATTATAAATCTACAGTGCTTTTAGTTGGGGGGGGCCCCCCCCAGATAGTTGCCTACCTTGTCCAGTGGTAATGTCTCGGCTGTGTGACAGAACTATTTCACGGCAGGTGTATTGCTCAGGACCTGAGGAAACACAGTGATGAGTCTGTAGTTGTTTGTTTGACGGTTTCTCGAGAAAGCTACAAGCAGCAACACAAAGTGAATGAAGGAATTATTAGGAACAAAATTAAATATTACCGAAAGCATCTGTTGTTTCAAAAGAAATTGGTGTCAAATTTGGTGTTTCATTTAAGAGACGGTCTGCTAAATAAAAATGCAGCTGAGTTCTGGATGTATTGTAGTTTGTTGGTGATTTTGGTGAGTGTGTGCCAAACAGGATGCTGTTGCAGTAGTCGAGAAGAGAGGAGATGAAGGTGTGGATGAGCGAGGGGGGTAGATGGGCGGTGTTTTTGAGATGAAAGAAGGCGTTTTTTGTGATGTCATTGACGTGGAGTTTCGAAGAGGGTTTGATCGAAAATTATACCAAGCTTACGGATATGTGTGGAAGAGGAACAGCGGTGCCATCGATGCAGAGGGAGAAGTTGTGGGATTTCGGGCCGACGATGAGGATTTCAGATTTGTCGCTGTTGAGTTTGAGAAAGTTTGCTTATATCCAGGTCTTTAATGTCTTTTAAGGCACTTGGGGGTGATGGATTTGGTGGAGATGTAGAGCTGTGTGTCGGCATAGCGGTGGGAATGGAGACAATGGTGGCTTATGAAGAGGATGGGACCAAGTACCGAACTTTAGGGGACACCTTGAGAGACAAGGGGCTGGGTCGGACTTGAATGTATTGATACTAATGAACTATAGAGGTAGAACTAGAGAGGTATAATTTGAACATGTTGTACTGCAGGGAAGGTAGTGTTCTGGAAATTGTGTCTTGAGATTTGATGGAATTTACAACGCTAATAATGCTAGTAGGTTAATATGAAAAAAAACATTTATCTACTGAACTAACTGAAGAATTATCAGCATTTAAGTTAATCAGTGGTGAGCTTTAATCGGCTGACGTTAAAAGAAACTAGGGTCCTGAATTCCTCTTTGTTTCATTGTTAGCTGGTTTAGTCATAACCAAATGTGCTCCTGATTTTATTAAAATATGGTCTCGAAATGTACTCTTTAGTATTGCTGCATGGATAATGCAGCTGTGGTGATACTTTGTTTTGATAAGTCAGTAATTTTGGTTCACTGTTCACAATCAAGAATGCAGGTGAGGTTGACAGTTCTGTACCCGATGGATTTAGATGAAAATCACTTTCACGATGATGTAGTCATATTCATCATTAATCTAGTGTTTTTGGTCGTTTGCTGTGGATGTTCTCATTTGGAGACCTCTGTTGAGCTTGAATGTTAAGGATCGCATACAATATGCAGGTAATGCGTTACACATAGGGTCGATGGACTTATATTAACATGCACCGCATCGATGAACAGTGGCCACACAGTCCGTGCCGGAACGTTACTCACTTTTTGCACACTACCCAGAGTCATGATGACTGTGCCAACGGCTAGTGCCTATGTGCTATGGAAACAAGCGCGGATACTCTGAAAAATAAAGCAACGGACGGATGAAGACATTTCTTTACAGAGTATGTAGCCGGTAGTCAATTTGCCAGAACGAAAACTGAAAGACAAACTCGCAGTGTCACGTTAGACCCTTCCGGCCATGATTCAGCGAGTTATTACGCGTTTCTGCTCGCTATTCAACTAATGGTAGCTAGCTTGCTAGCTAGCGCGTGCTACGACTATCTAGCCGAGGAAACCCGGATAAGAGCCGTAACTAAGTAGCGCTACCTGGTTACCCGTACTTGACTAACAACCATTTTAGTGTCGCTGATCACCGAGCGGTGTTTACAGTTTCGTTTTTACTTGGAGCGGCGATGTTGCGGGAGTGGGGTGTGCGGGCTTCCTTTGCGGCCTACGCAGCCCCGACCTAAATTAGTCAAGAGTCGGGTCAGGACAGCATGGTGGATTTGTTAGATCTGAATTGACAGCTCTGGCACAGATGGCTAACATTGCTTGGTTTTTGGCTATCTACATTTTACATGTTTGATGTTGATTACACGTATGACTTGTTTGTGACTTGGCTGACTCTTTTTTTTTGGTCGGGTGGTATTAAAATGCTTTAAAGTATTTCTAAAAAGGATCGTTTGCTAACGCCACCGGTAGCTCACAGCTAGCTGGTCACGGGCTAACATAAATTCCGTAGCAAACGTTTACCGACCAATTTCTTCAGTACGTTGATCTTCCCACTGTCTGGTTTTTCCAGACGTGTTGCCAACCTGTCACCAAGCAAACCAATGCCGTTTGCGACTAGTAACTACAGTCCAACGTGTGTGTAATGACTTGTTAACAATGGGTAAATAACGTTATGCTGTTAGCCAGGGTGACGTTAGCTAGTTGGCTGTAACTTAAAGCGTCAAGTCACTCGATTTGATACGTCTGTTTTATTGAGACATCACTTGAATAAGAGTGAAGTACAAGAAACGTTAGTCAAACGTTGTAGGATGTTAAGTAGGGCCCAGCCTGATTTAATTAACTTTGTGTGGAATGTTGCTAGTTAGCCACTAGCTATTGGTCTGCTTTGTGGTGTTCAGACCTTGCTAACTTAATAAAATGTTGTATCATTATCACATTTTAATTAATAATTATAATGTATTATTCTTATTAATATGATTATAGATAATAATCAGTCATTTGTGATCTGCAACATAAATTTAAAGGAAATACCCATATCCACTACCCTTGCTTATTAGTTGAGTGCTTTGAAAAAATGAATTAATTGGAATTAACTAACTTCTGTATATGTGTATACGTATGCTCAGGGAGAGAGAATCCTTTCTTGATATTGATGAATCTTTGAAGCTATTGTACATGATTTTATAATGTGGTATGTGGGACACTGTTTATAGTTTTATTTATATCATTTTACAGATAACTTGACTGGAACATGCTGTTAAGTGGGTACTGCCAAATTCATTCTCTGTAAGTACAATTCACATTGTTCACACATCTAGAGTTATCAACGCTAAATATGAATGTCTCATTGGTTTTACAATTTTTAGATGTTGAAATCAATATTTGGCTTGTTTACAAATTATGTAAATAACACATTGAAATTCAGCATCACATGGTGTTTTCTGATGTACATGGACATTTCTCAACAGGAGCATCAAATAGAGATTATCGACAATGAAGGTAGACAGAAGCAAGTTAAAGAAAACTCCTACGGAAGCTGTGAGTATGCTTAGAGCTTGCTGTGTGGCCATTCCAAGCCTCACCATCATTTCAATAGAGTTGGGGGATACCCAAGCCGAGCTTTACTATGATCAAATGTGATAGGAAACCATAATGGCAATCTGTGCATCTCTGCTGAAGGCAAGGATTATGCAGTCAGTTGTTAACCTTGGTGACAATAAGGTTGCACTTCCCATTTGTGCTTCACAATAAACGTCATAGCAGTGGTATGCATTTAAGCAGCAGCGGGACATTTTCGCTGTGGCTAGCAGTAACGCAGGTCTTACACGTCTGAGATTATGTTAAATGAGAACAAATCCCAAAACTGTAAACTCTCAGTTATACATTCGTCAAGGATAGTTGCAGGACATTAGCTGACGTGGAATAGTGATGAGGAAACCCGTGGATCTTATATACTCTGTGCAGGATTGTCCTAGCGCAAAGCCTCCGTTCTCAAAGTTCTCCATTTTTCTTCACACGTCCGCATAGTTAGAAAACGTTGGCTATGCAAGGATTGGCAAAAACCTGCCACCCAGAAACAAAGCATCGTGTCTGGTGTGGCATCACTTTGGCGACCCTCCCGAATGCTGCAAGCATAAATCAATCTTAAGGTTTCTCTCTGTTATGCTGCCAGTATGCTTAATCAGACCTGCTTGTTGGATGGTCGACCGTGTTGAGCCAACCATTATAGTGCAGTGACACAGTTTAGGGCAGAGATGGTCATAGTTTGGTCCTGCTCATAAGTGGTAGAAAAACAGCAGTATTACAGGTCAGCACCTTTCGCCCCTTCTTTAAGTACACAGAAGAAATGCAGATTTGTGTGTCTCGGCATGTCACAGCATCGCTAATGTGTGCTATACTGTGCTATGCTAGTAGAAAAGAGCCATTGGAGGTCCGTGCACTCACTTCTGACTAACCATTTTATGCCTCTTCTGAACCAACAGCCTGCCGACTGCAGGATACTTATAGAGAAGCTCAAGGCATGCAGTGATGAGCAACTGCTGGTTGAACTGCAGCACATCAAGACCTGGAATATTGGCAAGGTAAGCCCCAAAGAAAATGGGAAGAGGCACCATCCTGAGTCATTTCTTTTGGAACCCCGTCCATCCCACCAGTCAATGATTGTCACAGACATAAGATGCGTATTCCAGGAATTTGACAGGCATTGGGACACGTCTTAGACTGTGTCTGCACTAAACCAAAATTTCTTTAAAAATAGTGTCTTCATAAAAAAATTTAAGACGTTAGTTTTTCTAGATTGTTTTTGTAAAAAAAACTAAATAGAGAAATGGCCAAATCTCTATTACACTGTCAGTTGTTAAATAACAAAAAGGCTCATCCAGCCAGCATGCAGCACAGCTGAATAAATTATTGTTTATGGTCACAATGTTTTCTGCCCAAATTTGCATAACTACTGATTAATGTAATGAGTATGAAATAGTGATTTATTTGTGGCTCCTTGACACTACATATGAAGCACTAATCATTCTCATGCTGCTGTGCCGCACATCATTATTTTTAACCTTGTACATCCTCTTACAAAATTCATGAATAGATAGACATTTATATTAATGACAAGTCAGATTAATGACAACATCTTTGCTGTGTGATCGGCTGTATCGACATTTAAAATGAGAAGACCACAGGGTAAGCTAGATATGACTTAAAGTCCCCCCCCCCCCCAAAAAAAATGCTTTGGCGTGAATGGAGTGCTGAAAAATATATATTTTTAACTGGTTTAATGTGGATGTACTCTTGGACTGCTTGCTCACCAGGATGCCTTGGTTGTTCAAACGGTAATTACTATTCCCCTGTTGGTATGAGCATTTGCTCCACCAGAAAGCCTAAAAAGTAAAGAATAAGACGGGCAGATGGCAAGAGCAGGTATGCAGAGAGTAGGAAAGGAAATGTCAACACCATCCTGAATACAAACAGATTGTTTAACCATCTCTTGGAGGCTGGTTTTTAGCAGTTTTATTTGGACATTGTTTCCACATTTCCCACATGTAAAAACTTTTGACTATAACCACTTGAGCTAAAAATGAGCTAAAGAAAAACCCCAAATCCAAACAAGAAAACAAGCCCACTAAGGAATATAATGTTAAATGTCATTTCACATCAGGTTTACTTTGGGAAATCTGTCGTATGCTTGTATCAAGAGTTCAACCATTCCAAATACTTGTCTTCAGAAAGCAGTCCCCTGTGATATTTTACTGTTACTGAAGATGATTTGTCTTCAACAGTGTGAGCTGTACCACTGGGTGGATCTACTGGACCGCTTTGATGGCATACTGTGTGATGCAGGCCAGACAGTGGAGAACATGTCATGGCTGCTGGTGTGTGACCGTCCCGATAATGGACAGCTCAAAGCCCTGCTTTTGGCAGTTCTCAACTTCACGGCCCTGCTCATTGAGTATAGCTTCTCTAGGCACCTCTACAGCTCCATAGAGGTAGGCATGAACCTGGTACACTCTGGACCACTACTGTTTTTCCTGGAAAAAGTAATGCAGCTCACTAACTTTAACCCTCTTTCATCTACCACTCCCACCCCCTTTTTACAGCACTTAACCACCTTGTTAGCATCATGTGACATGCAGGTGGTCCTGTCTGTGCTGAACCTGCTGTATGTGTTCAGTAAGCGCTCCAACTACATCACAAGACTGGGATCTGACAAAAGGACGCCTCTGCTGGCCCGATTGCAACACCTGGCTGAGGTCTAGTGAACGCTATTGTTTTCCTATTACCATGATTCCAAGAGGAAGAGCTGTATTGTTTAGTCTCTTTGTTTCCTTCTGTAGAGCTGGGGAGGAAAGGAGAATGGCTTTGGTCTGGCTGAGTGCTGCAGGGATCTGCTTATGACGGTAAGAATTTTACAGTGTGCTGTTAAATAATCGTCTATCAACTACCTACAGCTATGGGACTATTTGTTTTATGTTGATGAATAAAGGCTGTCAAACGAGACTAATTAACGCTATATGTAAACTATCATCCCTGACTCTGCTGCCCCCTGATGGTACATAAGCAGAAGTACCCGCCCAGTGCCACCACCCTGCACTTTGAGTTTTACGCTGAACCGGGCCCCGAGGTAAAAGTAGAGAGGAAGGTAAAGACCAAGATATTTATTTATGCAGTCATTCTGTAATAAAAACAAAAGATATTTTTGGAATACTATGTTGATGACTTGCCTTCTTTCCTAACCCTTCTGAACTCCTTTCCCTTGCAGACAAGTAGTAACACACTACACTATATTCACATCGAGCAGCTCGACAAGGTACAGTCAAATTATCATATCAATATGATTGTCATTAACAGTTGAGCAACAGTACCGTGGGTTCTTCATCCTACACATGTTCTGCGTCTCTTAGATATCAGAGAGCCCATCTGAGATCATGGAGTCATTGACTGTGATGTACAACATCCCTAAAGACAAGCAGACCTTGCTGTTCACACACATTCGACTGGCCCATGGTTTCTCAAATCACAAGAAGAGGTTGCAGGCTGTGCAGGCCCGCCTGCATGCTATCTCTATACTGGGTGAGTAGAAGCCTTCTTCCCAAGATAAAGGGACAAAGGGTTTTGTTCCAAGTTTTAACTCCTGATGTTTTCTCTTTCTTTGCAGTGTATTCAAATGCACTCCAAGAGTCGGCCAACAGTATTCTGTATAACGGCTTGATAGAGGAGCTGGTGGATGTATTACAGATTACAGACAAACAGCTTGTGGTAAGAAAGACTTTTGCTTCTTCTGCTTAATCACCATGTCATGACACTAACTTCCTATGACACATTAGCAGTAGCACTTTATTTGTAAAATTACATTAGACATCTTTTGCTGCCTTGTCAGACCAAGATTACTTTTAGGTTATCCTAATTTGTGTACTGTACAGTGTCGAGGCAGAAGTCTCATAAAGTCCCTTTTTAGTGTTCAGTTTTCTGAAATGCTGAATTTGTTTTCGTCCTTCAGGATATCAAGGCAGCGTCTTTGCGCACTTTAACTTCGATTGTCCATCTGGAGAGGACGCCCAAGCTTTCCAACATCATCGACTGCACCGGCACTGCCTCCTACCATGGCTTCCTGCCTGTGTTGGTGCGCAACTGCATACAAGCAATGATCGGTGAGATTGCAGCCAAAACTTTTTGTGTCACAGTTTAGTGTGTGATGCACAAGATAGTGGGACATTTCAAGTTGAAGCTTGTTTGTTAACTTTACATTTTTCTTTTTCCTAGACCCTCTGATGGAACCCTACCCGCACCAGTTTGCCACTGCGCTCTTCTCATTCCTCTACCACTTGGCTAGCTATGATGCTGGAGGGGAAGCCCTTGTGTCCTGTGGCATGATGGAAGCCCTCCTGAAGGTATATTCTCATCCTACCAATACGTCATTACCAATTGCGTTTTTTCTTTCTTTTTTTTTCTTCTTTTTATTAAGTCTGCCGTTTTATTATCTAACTTTGTAGGTTATCAAGTTTCTGGGTGATGAGCAGGACCAGATCACCTTTGTGACGCGAGCAGTGCGGGTCGTGGACCTCATCACCAACCTTGATATGGCTGCCTTTCAGTCCCACAGCGGCCTTACCATTTTTATCTCCAGGCTAGAGGTTGGTTTATACACTTTGCGTTCTCATTCCTGACACAGCAGCCTTCCGCTATAGAGTCTCTGAAAGTTCTGCTAAACCTCTGGTCTCACTCGTTCTTCCCTTCATCACTCTCTCCATCTCTGTGTAGCATGAGGTGGACCTGTCAAGGAAAGAGTGCCCTTTTGTCATCAAGCCAAAGATCCAGAGGCCTAGCACAGCTAACGAGTCTGAAGACATGGACACAGACATGGAGAGTAAGTCACTCACCTTTATAAATTCATATCTATAAGTCAAGGCTGTAATTTACATTCTAGGCTATTAGTCAATATCACCAAATAAGAAAGAATCCCCTGGCTGTTGTGTTGATTTGCCATTATTATGTATTCTTAGTGTCAGAGGTTGCCATGGAAAGTAGCCCTGGACCGTCCACGTCTTCTGGTTCCAGACCAGAAGCGGACCTCCGAGCACAGACCAGTGCTTCTAACACGCCCCGTGCAGGTACACACAGCAAGCGCACACAAAAAAAGTCCCAAACACGTGCCACTATTGTCCTCTGTCGTCACTATGCCACTCTGTCTCTCTAGGTATGCAGTGTATACCCCAGAGGGCAGCGCTGTTAAAGTCGATGCTCAATTTTTTGAAGAAAGCAATCCAGGACCCTGCCTTTTCTGATGGTATCCGCCACGGTGAGTCACTGGCAATTCTCTTATTTGTTGGATACATTTGAGATTAAAGGTTTTGTATTAATCTTGTTTATACATGTTGAACAGGTTAATACATTGTTATCCCAAGATTTCACAATGGAAATGTTGGTTGTTTATGTGTATATGTACCCTCTTTTTCTCATAAAGTAATGGATGGTTCGTTGCCTACCTCACTCAAGCACATCATCAGTAATGCAGAGTATTACGGCCCTTCACTGTTCCTCTTGGGTGAGTTCACAGTAGCCTCTTCTGACTGAGCAAAGTGCTCTCACTTGACTACAGACATGTCATATTTAACTGGACAAATCAATTGAATGTAATGAAATGTCTCTGTTTGCTTATTAATGCTATGTGAAATGTGTTGTGATTGTTATGGATTATGATCTCCTTTTTTCTTTTTCCCCTCTTGCTGTTGTCTGTCTTTTGGGTTTGTAGCGACGGAGGTTGTGACAGTGTTTGTGTTCCAGGAGCCATCCCTGCTCTCCTCCCTGCAGGATAACGGTCTCACTGATGTCATGCTGCACGCCCTTCTCATCAAAGATGTGAGTGTCCAGCACTTCCCTTGTGTGCTGCCTGTTTTCCTCTCTCCTCCTTTTGTATCTGACCGTTAACACCAGTTCAATATTATCAGTTTCATTTTCTCTCATTGTCTCAGCACCTGTACTGAATTAGATAATCTGAAATTGTGACTAGTATTTCAGAGATGGCTAAGAGACTTTGCGCCCAGCTCTTCATTTGCTTTGGATAATGGTTGAATTTCAGTGTAAAGGGGTTGCCCTGTGTCAAAAGATCAGGTTTTAAACCTGTGGATGCATTCATTCAATTTACATCCCTATAAACATACCTGAATCCCTGTGTGTAATTTGTGTTGTCCATTGGCCGACCCAGGTCTGGTTATGGGATGTTAAAACAACTTGATGGCAAAAACGCAGGCCATAGAGTTTTCTGTAAAAGGGTCACAACGTGAGCCAGCACTGTTAAAAGGCGCAGGTTGATGTTGGGTCCTAGAAAACTGGAAAGTTTGTGTGTTAATTCTATATATTTTTTTCACTGTGTCTCTGCCCAGGTTCCTGCTACCCGTGAGGTGTTGGGTTCTCTCCCTAATGTGTTCAGCGCCCTCTGCCTGAACGCGAGAGGCCTGCACTCCTTCGTTCAGTGCCAGCCGTTTGAGCGCCTCTTCAAAGTGCTTTTGTCCCCTGACTACCTGCCTGCCATGCGACGGCGGCGCAGCTCAGACCCGTTGGGTAAGTTAAACTGTATGTGTTGTGTTATTGAGATCTTCATCTGTGGAATGTGCTTGAGTGGATGACATGTTCTTTCTTCGGCATCAGGTGACACTGCATCCAATTTGGGGAGTGCTGTGGATGAGCTCATGAGGCACCAGCCCACTTTGAAGACTGATGCTACTACTGCCATTATTAAGGTAGCGTATCTTCATTCACAAGCGATCTTTCTAGTCTTCTAGCCACATGGTTTTGCAGGATAATTAAAGGCACATTTGTGTTCCAGTTACTGGAGGAGATCTGCAACCTAGGTCGAGCCCCCGAGTACATCTGCCAGAAACCGTCTATCCAGAAAGCAGATGGCACTGTGGCGGTGCCACCAGCACGCTCCAGTCACGCTGCTGAAGAAGCTTCAAGTGAGGACGAAGAGGAAGAGGAGGCCCTCCACACATTCAGCCAGCAGCAGGGGGAAGCAGAGAGCACCAGACAGTCAGTGCCACTTGAACTGTATGACGCTGAGTTCATAACGCAATAGAATAGAACAACTCCTTACAGACTTTGATTTTCTTCAAGTCAGTCAACTAGATTTCAGATGTTTTAGTTTTCAATTCTGATGATGTTTGAATTCTTGCAGGGTCGTGGGCACTGAGGAGCGGATACCCATTCCTCTAATGGATTATATTCTGAATGTGGTGAGTGTGATTTCTTTGACAGTTTTAGTAAGGTTATGGGCATGTTGGGAAATATTCCAAGCTATAAAGCAGAGCTCAGTTTCACTTTCTGAGCCGAACTAAAGCCAGGCGCTGGGTAGCGCTGTGTTGTAAATGCGCCTGGAGGGCCAGACAGCTCTCCTATTGTGAAGCTAAAATTATTTTTGGTTCATTATGAAACCGTGGTGGGGCAAAATAGACTTTGGCGGGCCGCCACAGTCTTGGTTATTAATGGAAACACTGCTCAACTAATTTTACACTTCAGTCACTGATTTGCGATGCACATGTTTTCTAGATGAAGTTTGTGGAATCCATTCTAAGCAACAACACCACAGATGACCACTGTCAGGAGTTTGTCAGCCAGAAGGGTCTGCTACCTCTGGTTTCTATTCTGGGCCTGCCCAACTTGCCCATAGACTTCCCCACGTCTGCTGCCTGCCAGGCTGTAGCCGGTGTCTGCAAGTCCATATTGGTGAGCACAATCTTTGTTGTATTTATTTATCTAGCAGGAACGACGGACATTACCATCAATACCCTGTGCCAGATGTAGCCAACTGACTATTTTCATATATGACTATCGTTTGCTGAATTTAGACTGAATAGTTTTCCCCCAAATTCTCCCCGTTAGACTCTCTCTCATGAGCCTAAGGTACTCCAGGAGGGCCTGTGCCAACTGGACAGCATCCTGACGTCTCTGGAGCCACTTCATCGACCGATTGAGGTGCCTGGTGGATCCGTCCTTCTCAGAGAACTGGCCAACGCGGGCCATGTCACCGACCCGACGTTGTCGGCCCGTGCCACACCACTGCTACATGCTCTTACTGCAGCGCATGCCTACATCCTCATGTTTGTCCATACTTGCAGAGTAGGACAGGTAAATATGGATGTATTTTGTTAATGGGGGTGGCTTCATATTTCATCTCGGAACGGTTTAGCACCCTGAATGTTTCTGCTCCCTTTCTAAACAGAGTGAGATCAGAGCTATCTCAGTCAACCAGTGGGGCTCCCAGCTGGGCTTGAGTGTTCTCAACAAGCTGAGTCAGCTCTACTGCTCTCTGGTATGGGAGAGTACCGTGCTGCTGTCCCTGTGCACGCCTAACAGGTGAATTTCTGTTCCTTTACCCTACTTTTTTTTAACTGTTCAATCAGCTGTTATCCTGTAACACCTCTCGCCTGTGCCCCCACAGTCTGCCTCCAGGATGCGAGTTTGGCCAGGCCGACATGCAGAAGCTGGTGCCCAAAGAGGAGAAGCCATCTGGCAGCACTGCAGCAACCACATCATCTGGCTCAAGGAGAACTGGTAATTCAACCGTTTAACTTTGTTCACTGAAAACCACCATGTACCTGGACACCCACCAACCACTTTAATCTCCTCTACATTTATCGAACAGAGTCTGAGGCAGTGACTGTGGATTCAACTGCTGGTGGACTGTTGGAAGGCATGGGTCTAGATGGGGACACCTTGGCTCCCATGGAGACGGACGAACCCACCGCAACAGACCCGAAGGCCAAGTCCAAACTCACCCCAGCTATGGCCACCCGCATAAAACAGATAAAACCTCTACTGTCTGGTGAGCTCATTTCTATGTCCCAATCAAGTTTTTATATCTTCTAATATTTTAACATGTCTTAAATTACCTTACATCCTTGTGAGTTTTATGGTCTCGCACTAACCTTCATGCGTCTGTCCAGCTTCATCTCGGTTAGGGCGGGCTCTGGCTGAGCTGTTTGGCCTGCTGGTGAAGCTGTGTGTGGGCTCCCCAGTGCGCCAACGCCGCTCCCACCACGCCACAAGCACAGGCACTACCCCCACGCCTGCTGCCCGGGCCACTGCCTCTGCCCTGACAAAGCTCCTCACCAAGGGTCTGAGTTGGCAGCCCCCGCCCTACACACCCACGCCTCGTTTCAGGTAAGAGACCACTTCCATTGTTACATCTGCTTTGCACACACAGGTGATATGGAGTGTTGTTTTTATTCTTTACTTTTTGTCTGGCAGGCTGACTTTCTTCATCTGCTCAGTGGGCTTCACATCCCCCATGCTGTTTGATGAGAGGAAGTACCCCTACCACCTTATGTTGCAAAAGTTCTTTTGCTCTGGGGGTCATGATGCCTTATTTGAGTAAGTCTCCTGATGTGCAGTGACATATCAAGAACAGTATTTTTATCTTAACATTTTGCTTCTTAATATCCATAATATTTAAATTTCTATGTTAAACGGGAGTTTTATTGGTTGTGTGCAGGACATTTAACTGGGCCCTGTCGATGGGTGGGAAGGTACCTGTATCTGAGGGTCTGGAGCACACTGATCTACCAGATGGGACAGGGGAGTTCCTGGATGCTTGGTTAATGCTGGTGGAGAAGATGGTGAACCCAAGCACTGTGCTGGACTCACCCCATTCCCTGCCAGCTAAAATGCCTGGGGTCACACCCACCATGCCCCAGTTCAGTGCCCTTCGGTTCCTCATAGTCACCCAGAAGGTCAGTATCCCCTAGCTATAGAAATCAAATGACGCAATTGCTGCCTTCAGATAAATCTTTTGGGTTTGCCTTTTGTCCACATGGGAAGTCAATTATACATTATGTGTGGCATTGAAGTGGGTAAGCTTGTGAGAGCACAGTTGCCAGGGAAATAAGAAAAGATGGACACCATAAGATTCTTCCTGCTCTCTTAGCAAAAATGATTGTTCTCTGTTGTTGCATTTCTGCATTTTAATACCATGTAGAGAAAAGAACAAGAAAAGGATACGCAGAAAAAGAAAAATGACTTCTGCAAATTTCAGAAGTTATGAACATAAATAACACCGCAGTAGGGCTTTCATAATTGCTGCATTTTAAGTAGTCATTGACTACTACTCCCGGGGGTGCATAATAACAATGATGTGTAAGGTTAACTAATTCGGCGGTACCCATCTAGGCTCGGAGAAGTCTTTCACAAGTGAGCAGAAATCTGACTAAACAGCGCAATATGTGTTGATCATATTTAATGTATATTATAACTTCTGAGAATTTTGGGAACAAAAGCTCATTTGGACAGGCAGTACAGTGTTCACAGCAGTAGTTGGTTCATTTGGACTCCTTGTGAACATGGTAAACATGCTACTCAAACCCTGTTGAAATGCACCATTCTCTATATGCATTCTTGTATAAGCTGTATGGTTTGTTAGCATTTTCAAATTAGGGATGAGAGTCGGAGGATTTGCTATAAACATATGTTAGTGCTTTATTATTGTAACACACTCTTCTTAATCAAGGCTGCATTCAGTTGCATTCGCAGTCTGTGGAACAGAAAGCCACTGAAGGTGTATGGAGGCCGGATGGCTGAATCAATGCTAGCCATCCTCTGCCACATACTGAGAGGGGAGCCTGTAATTCAGGAGCGCCTGACCAAGGAGAGAGAGGGGGCGGTGCGCCCGGATGACGAGGCGGCCTCCACTGTTTCTTTGGCACCCAGTGGAGCCACTGGAGCATCGACAACAGGTGGAGAGGCACCAGCCGCGGCTGGAACAGCACCTGCAGTGCCAGCAGCACCAGCAGCAGGAGGAGGAGGAGGAGGAGGCGGAGGAGGCAGCGGCGGTGGAGAAGGCAGCGGCGGTGGAGGAGGATCAGGAACAGGAGGAGGATCAGGAACAGGAGGAGGATCAGGAACAGGAGGAGGAACTGGAACAACTGAGGATATAACCACTTCTACCCCCCGCCGTGAGCCCCAGGTTAACCAGGCCCAGCTTACACAGGTATGTGGGAAAGACTGTCAGACCCTGCTGCAGTAAAATAAGAGGTTTTCTAAAGGAAATCTGCTGCTCATAAATATTACCACTTTCCTCCACAGGGACTGCCAAAGTCAACCCAAAAAGAAAGTTTCCTTGTGGTAGCTTTAATGTTGTTTGTAAACACGTTGTCAAATGGGTATCGTTAGGATTTTAACGAAACAGATCAACATTGCTTTATTATTCGTATATAAACAGTTATTCTTGATCAGCAACAGCAGCAATGTTTAAATAACTCACTATTGTAGACTAAACAATTTCAATGCCATCAACAAATGTAAATAAATCAACAAATAAAATTAAACAATATTCTAATAACTGCCTCAGCCCGACAATCTACAAAAAGTAAATAAAATCCTTAAAATACAGTCGCAGCTAAGCAATCAGCTGTTATTTATTAGCCTTTTATTATTATCAAACTTCGTATGGCATTGCTAATGTTACCTGCAGTGGACGAGAATGGATGGCTGCTCACCAAACAGTCAAACGGTGCATTTCTGCACATTTCTGTTTTGCGTGTTGTTTTAAATTGCTGGTATTGCCTGTCTGTCTTGTGAGAGTTTTATTGCATTTAAGACAACGATAGTTATCAGGATCTACTCGAGTAAAATGTAGCCACACTTTCGATCTTATTTTTCTCTCTGCCATGATGTGTGTCTCTCACTATACCGAGCCGGAGTCGGGGTGCGTGCGCGTGTGCGTGTGCGTGTGCGTGCGCGTGCGCGTGCGTGCGTGCGTGTCAGAATAAAGCACGACTCTGCCCCTCATGCAGAGACAGGCACAGAGACAGAGAGCGGAGGTTTGCTTTTTTGGGCGGATATCTCACTCCGTAACTTCTGACGTACCGATAGCAGAACCCTTATCTCTGGACCTTATCGATGCTCCAGGTATTTGCTACTGTCTTATCGGTTCCCGTTTAGAACCAGGTTTCATAATGATGGCCTAATAGTCCAGGAACAACTGGTGACAAATTGTATGTATTTCTTAAATTCTAATTTTTTTTTTTTTTGTATGCAGTTTGACAATGTATTCTGCATACAGGCTGTGATTTGTTGCTGTAGCCTCATTATTTTCATGACTTGCTGTGCCACTACTGCAGGAGGTTTTGACAGCACATAACTACATAATTGTATATTGGCACTATCTGTATGGCCCTGTAAGCAACATACTAAGACAGAGGTGCTTTATTTACCAAGCTTCCTGACCCATATTCTGTATGCACTGAATCCTGGGCCACCATTTGTTTTATAACAGGGAAGGTGCAGAGAGAGGGAGAGGAACGAACAGGTCCGCCAGGAGCAGCTCCAGCAGGTATAAGAGCCATCAGGGAGAGTGGGAGACTTTTTGAGGAGAGAGGGAAGCAGTAAAGAATAGAGAGGTTGGAGAGGTAGGATTGAAAAGGGAAAGAGCATTTCGGAGAGGATTATTTTTATTTTTTTATTTTCAAATATCAGGATAGTGTTGTGACAGAAGCGGTTTTATAAACATTATAAAGGTGGTGTGCACTCATTATTCCAAAAAAAATGGAAGATGTGGAGTGAGCGGAAGAATGTCTCCTCGTCCTCCTTAATGATAGCAGGTGTCTGACGTTCCCCTCACTATATGTCATTATCATTTGAGCCTCATAATCCCCCCCTTATTTATATTTGGTCTTTACTCTTGTCGCCATCTCTGGTAACTCTGGTAAAAAATGCTTCTTCACCTCTTTGTTTGGTGTTTTAGCTGATGGATATGGGTTTCTCAAGAGAGCATGCCATGGAGGCCCTACTGAACACCAGCACCATGGAGCAGGCCACGGAGTACCTTCTAACTCACCCTCCTCCACTTCTTGGTGGAGCAGTAAGGGTAAGTCTTCCTTGACAGAAACGCACTCGCATCTTTTGTAACTTTCATAAATGCCTTTTCACACAGACGACAAAGCGGGGGGGGGGGGGATAAACAAAAATACAGAATATTCACGGTCAGGTTTCTCGAAGACAGACAGTGAGCTCATATGCTTCCATGGCTGGTAACGATTATAATAACGGCGTAATTGATATGCTGTCACTATCCTGTATGGCCAGGTTTTAGAGTATACCTTTCACAAGTACTACATGTAACTTCTGACTCAAATAATGTCAATATCACAACGTAAGCTAATGCACTTGGAAATAAATGATTCTCTATATGTGACCATGACAACAAAGGATGTTTACCCCTCTACTCACCATCACAAGCAAGTTCTACTGCTATACTTCCCCCAAATATTGTCTTTATGTTCATTGTCTTCATAATATTATAATAAATATTAGTATCATTTTGTTCGTCAAAGAGGGCACTATTTTGCGAGACCAAAAAGATCGATCAATCAATATCCCCGTTGTTGTGTGACGGTATCAACGAGATTATGAAATTGATGTCGGAAGAAAATGTATTGATCGAGTGTATTGATCGGCTTTGGTGTTGATTTGCTGTTGGAGGTAGATCTCTCGTGTGATTTATCTGCGTTTGGTCTGAAAAGACTTTAAGTCAAATTCAGGCAGCTGAAATTGTTCCCCTTGTTCTGTCCAGGACCTGACTATGTCTGAAGAGGACCAGATGATGAGAGCCATTGCCATGTCACTTGGGCAAGAGGTCAGCATGGAGCAGCGGTCTGATTCTCCTGAGGTGCGTCACCCTCACTGCTCAAATAACATGAAGTCTGTTACTAAAAATGAAACATCAATAATGAATAACTTGGCCTATTAGCTGAGCAGCTAATGAGATTGTTTCTGTGTGTGTATCAGGAAGCCGCACGTCGGCGTGAGGAGGACGACCGGAGAGCCAGGGAGCGGGCCGAGGAGGAGGAGGCCCGCTGCTTGGAGCGCTTCATGGAGGCTGAGCCACTGGACCCCAAGGAGCTGCATACCTTCACTGACTCCATGCTGCCGGGCTGCTTCCACCTCCTGGATGAGCTGCCTGACACAGTCTACCGACTGTGTGACCTTTTGATGACCGCCATTAAGAGGAGTGGCCCGGAGTACAGAGAGCTCATCCTCGGCCAGGTTGTCCACCAGGTCAGTGGATAAATGCAGGTTTACACTGCTTGATTTGTTACAGTCAGATGGCTCAGAGGACTGCTCTATATGTACAATGGTCGACCCGACTGACAGGGCAGAACGAGACAGAGATCCCTCTGAGCAATACCTAAATAAGAATAGAAGAAATCACCAGTCATTGGCAAAGGAAACTGGAATTTTAGCATCAAAATGTGTTGCAGATTTAAATAGAAACAGTTTCAGTGTCAAGTGCACAATACTGCCTACAACAAGCTGGAATATTAAGGTGTGTTGCTTATGACATCACAATAGAAATGGAAGGTTAGTGTAGGGTTACCTGTATTGAAATAAGATTACAGAATATCAGCGGAACATACTATGGACTGACAAATCACAGTTTAAACCTTTTCAGTCTAAACACTTGGTAGACTGCAGAGCGCCCAAACACAAACGACTACCCAAATGCATGCACTGTTCTAGGATCACTGATGATCGAATGATTTAGGGGACGTAGAAGATGAGGTCATTCTTCTTTATTTAAATGGAAAGTTGAGAGAGACATCTGACGGATGCAGATTTGCATTCAGTTAATACAATTTGTCTTTGTAATTTAATTCTTAGGCGTTTCAGCGTTAGCGTAGTACCTAACACGTCTTGAATGCAAATGAAGCTTTGTAAGCCATTATGTATGTTTGTTTTATGATTTATTACAAGTGAGAGAAACCTCTTTAAAAGTCCAGCGTTTGCAATAGAAGCGTTCTTGCTCCAGCCTGATTGTGTTCATGTTGTGTAGGTGTGGGAGGCAGCAGACGTTCTCATCAAGGCGGCTGAGCCCCTGACTACCAGCGACACAAAGACTGTGTCTGAGTGGACCAGACAGATGGCCACACTTCCCCAAGCGTCCAAGCTTGCAACACGAATTCTGCTGCTCACGTTGCTGTTTGAGGTAACAGAAACACACTCATTGACTATTGTGAGTTTGAAATCATAACTTGGTTGAGGCATTTGTTTTTGTCATTGTTGTTTATCTACACTTATCCTAAACATTCGTTTGTCTCTGTTTCGGTAGGAACTGAAGCTGTTGGGTGCCAGAGTCGTGGAGAACAGTGGGATTCTTGACTTGCTGATCAAGCTCCTCGAAGTTGTGCAGCCTTGTCTGCAAGCTGCTAAAGAACAGAAAGACATCCAGACACCCAAGTGAGTGTCGCACAGCCAGACATACTTATCTTTACTTGCAAATGTTACACCAGCTCTTCACCCTAATTTGTTTGTGTTGTGAATTTGTATTGGAGCATAAAAAACGACTTCTTCTTTCTGCAGATGGATCACGCCAGTACTGTTGATCATTGACTTCTATGAGAAGATGGCTGTATCTTCAAAGCGCAGGGAACAAATGAACAAGGTACAAGTCAACTTCATTAAACCAAAGCACAAATAAAGATTACAATTGTAAAGTTAGATACTGAAGTACAAGCACAGGTAAAAGCAACCATGCACTACGAGTTCATCAATAGAGTAAACGAAGACGCATACATACATTCATATGTACATTCATCAGTTTTGATGTACTTTACCTTTTTGTGAGTATTTCCATTCTAAGTGGGTTTGTACTTAAAATCCGTTGCATCTCAGAAGGAAATATTGCACTTTTAACTTAACTACATTTTTTTGACTATTAATTGCTAGCTACTTCATATTCCCAATACGAAATATAAATCAACTAAATTATGATCTATTATTAAGTAGTGTATATAGCCTAATTAAGTATATAAAGTAGTTACAATCCGCTTCACTTTCAGCAGCTGAAACCTTAAAGTGAAGAAGACATTAATGCATTAATTATAGTAATGTTTTTGTATATTGTGCACCTCTTTTGTACAGTTAATGAGTTCTCTCTTGGCTCCTCTTTAGTATCTGCAACCCAATGGGAATAACTGGCGATGGTTTGATGACCGCTCAGGCCGCTGGTGCAGCTACAGTGCATCAAACAACAGCACCATTGACTCGGCGTGGAGGGCCGGGGAGAGCAGTGTCCGCTTCACAGCTGGACGCCGGAGATACACTGTGCAGTTTAACACCATGGTGCAGGTATACACAAACGCTTTCTCCACGGCCAGTGAATCCATGGACTTTTATAGTTAGTTATTTTAGAGTTTGCTGCGTTCCTTTGCTTAATTCAAAACTTTTCTGTTTCTCAGGTAAACGAAGAGACTGGTAACAGGAGGCCGGTGATGTTGACTGTCCAGAGAGTGCCGCGCATGCCGAAGCCTGCCAAGACTGGTAGCATTACTGACTCCGAGAGAGAAGAGGGAGACCGGAGCAAAGCAGAGGAAACCCAGACTGACCTGGACTCAGGAGCAGCAGTGGAGATGAGTGTTCCTAAGGATGATTCCAGCCAGCTGAAGGAGACCACGTCTGGCCCCTCATCTTCCTTGGAGTCGGATAACTCTCAGAGCACTGATATTGTTGTACAAGGCCTGACGGAGGACATGACCACCGTTCTTATTCGTGCCTGTGTCAGTATGATTAGCGTTCCTGTGGACCCAGACACACTCCACGCCACATTGCGTCTGTGCTTGCGTCTCACACGCAATCACCACTACGCTATGATGTTTGCTGAGCTGAAGAGCACACGGATGATTTTGGGGCTGACTCAGAGCTCCGGCTTCAATGGCTTCACCCCGCTTGTTACACTGCTGTTCAGACACATCATAGAAGATCCGGCCACGCTGCGGCACACCATGGAGAAGGTTGGTCTATTCCTATACTCTGGATGATATTTCTGAATAATAATATAAGTATTTAAAATAAGTCTTTTGATACCATTAACAAATTCCTCAACAATCTTTTGCCATAGGTGGTGAGGTCCGCCGTGACCAGCGGAGCAGGTAGCACCACATCAGGAGTGGTGTCAGGCAGCCTTGGATCCAGAGAAATCAATTATATCCTCCGCGTCCTGGGCCCTGCCGCCTGCCGTAACCCCGACTGCTTCGCTGAAACCGCCAGCAACTGTGTTCGCATTGCTCTGCCTGCACCCCGGGGAGCTGGCACAGGTGTGATAACTTAAAATAGAGTTGACGTTAATAGTACTTTACACTGAAATACGCTGGTGTTCTTGTTATACTTTTTTTTTTTTTTTTTTTTTTTCCTCTACAGAGGTCAATAAAGAATTAATCTGAATCTGTAAATGGTATTGATAGATTAATTTAGCTATCTAGTCGTGTCTGCATTTTTTTTTAAACCTGGTAAGCTCATACTCCATCTCTTTTCTACAGCCTCCGATGACGAGTTTGAGAACCTTCGGATCAAGGGGCCCAATGCTGTGCAGCTGGTTAAGACCACTCCTCTGAAGCTGTCCCCCTTACCCACTATCCCTGACACCATCAAGGAAGTCATCTATGACATGCTCAATGCTCTGGCTGCCTACCATGCTCCTGAAGAACGTAAGACATGTTCATAAGATCCTGACAGCTGGAAATAGTAATTTGAACGTTTCAGCTAAGTTTGTGTGTTTTGTGTGTGGCACAGCTGAACGTCCAGAAGAACGTGCAGCAGCGGTGCCTGGTGGACCAGACCTGTGCCAGATATTGCAGGACGTTGGGGATGACGTTTATCAGCAGTACAGACTCACCCGGCAGGGCAGCGACTTTGACTCCCAGTCTGCATTCCATATTAATGTGAGTTTCAATGGCAAGTTGTCCTGTATTAAATCAAGAGATGTGTCATCTCCCCAGTTAATAATAGAATATTGTCTCTTCCTCTCAGGCTCAAGTGTTTTCTGCTGATGGAGGCGTGGCCGAGTCATCCCAGTCTGGCACACCACAAGGAGAAGGTGAGTCTTTTTTTTTCTTCTTTTTTTTAAGTATGCAAGAATATTTGTGCAAAGTAACTGCACATATCAGACACTGTTAACCGTCATCACATTGTTTGATTGTCTGTGTTGTTGTTACCATTTGTTGTTTATGGTAAAGCACTATATGGCATGAAGAAGTCTGAATGCCAACAGTCAAAATAATGTTCATCCTGTTTGACTCTGCAACATTTTTATTTCAGTGCGAGTACGCCCCTCAGGGGGCATGGCATTAACAGCTCTCCGTAGTGGTTTCCCATTCCTTGACTTTAGCAGATCCCTTAATTCGGCTGTTGACTTTGTTAAAAAAAAGATAGACTTTCCTATATGGATCCATGAAAGCATGACTAAAATCTTCAACTTGTGAAGTTCTTTTTTAAAATAAAAAATAAAATAAAATTTAAGAACAAAAAATGTTCCTGCATGTTCTTTTTTTCTTCTTATTTTGCTGCCACAACTTCCTCAGCATCCACACCAGAAGAGATGCGGGAGGAAAAGAAAGAGCAGGAGGGAGAGAAGAGTACCAGCTCAGAGGAGGGTAAAGCAGCTAAGGTAAAGGCCAGCAAGCCTCTAATGCCTACCTCCACCATCCTGAGACTGCTGGCTGAATTAGTGCGCTCCTACGTGGGCATCGCCACTCTAATCGCCTCCTACTGCTACACTGCTGGACAGTCTGAGCTTATTAAGGAGGTGGGTAATGAACTAAATCTTGTCAGACTTTCACACACACTTATTTCCTCTTAACTTGCTTTGACCTCGCTATCTCCCAACAGGACTGTAGTGTTCTTGCCTTTGTGCTCGACCACTTACTGCCCCACACCCAGAATTTGGAGGACAAGGACACCCCAGCCTTGGCACGTCTCTTCCTAGCCAGCCTGGCAGCTGCCGGCACGGGCACTGATGCCCAGGTGGCCCTGGTCAATGAGGTGAAGGCTGCCCTTAGTCGAGCACTAGCAATGACAGAAGGTCCTGAAAAACATGCCAGGTAAGCAACAAAGAACATAAGTAAACCAACCTGATATTGACGCTTTAACTCTTCTGAACAAACCCGCACTCCCATTTTCACTCTTTGTCCTCACACATCTTTTCCACAGGCTTCAGGCGGTGATGTGCATCATCAGCACCATCATGGAATCATGTCCCTCAACGTCCAGTTTCTATAGCACAGCAGCAGCCAAGACGCAACACAATGGCATGAACAATATCATACGGCTCTTTCTTAAGAAAGGACTGGTCAACGATCTGGCCCGTGTGCCTCACAGCTTGGATTTGTCCAGGTATATGATTTAATCATATTCATTTCATTTTACAATTTGGATAGTAGTAGTTCAGGACACGGCATCACAACGTGTGATCTGCAGATTATTCAGTTTAAGGGTGCCTGTGATATTATCTTGGAACCAAAAGATGTTACGTTTGCATTTGATAAAGCATTGTGTTGATATTTGAGGTCTAACAAATGTGTCTGGTTTATTTGCTTCCTCAAAAATATTAAGAAGTTGATTTTAAATCCTGCATTGTTTGCAGTAACAGGAACCCAGGGACAGAGCCATGGGTAACCCTGGCTTTCCTAGTTTACCAATTTTAAGCTTAGTAAACCAGATAATACTAAAATAGCAAGTGTGTCATGCTATTTTTGCAAGTTACTATATAGAAGATTTAAGAATAAAGTTGGCGTTGCAAAACATATTCATTTTTATAAATCTGTGTAAAATGACCACATAATCTTCCTTTACATCATTTGTTTTAGTCCCAACATGGCCAACACGGTAAATGCTGCCTTGAAGCCTCTGGAGACTCTGTCCCGAATTGTTAACCAGCCCAGCAGTCTGTTTGGGGCCAAAGGAAGCTCCAGCAAGAACAAGACTGAACATGACACTGTGGGCACTGCAAGGGACAGCAACAGCAACACTCAGGACCAAGGTATGCACACCAGATGAGATCACCGTCAGCACTCTAGATCCAGTGATTCCCATTTTGTCCGTTGCTGATTTGTGGCATCTATTCCAGGAGAGTCTGGTGAGTCCGAGCCAGTGGAGGGCAACCACAGGGTGCAGGGAACAGACAACGACCTGATGGATGGAGAGACGGAGGGAGACACGGTGGTCATTGCTGGTCAGCCAGAGGTTCTCAGCACACAGGCTATGCAGGTGATTGGCATTGTATTACAAACGATATTCAAAAAGTATCTCACCACATTACCTCATCGTTAACATATGTAACTAGAAGAGTGAGGTCAGTAGAGTGCACTCTCACTCAATTGCCCCTCCCGCAACCACAAGAGGTCCTTCAGCATAGTCGTAAATGAACACAACTCACCACCTTATGGGTCCAGTTGTATGCAAGACTGGCTGTGGAAAGAGACGGATGCTCACACACACACACACACGGCCGAATGCTCTCCCCACACGTCTGGCTGAGAAAAATAATGGCTATAACATTAACATGGGTTTTACAAAATGTTAATTATTGAGCTCCAAGGTGTTGTGCCCCTTTCTTTACTGACTGGCTGACATTTGTTTTTCATTTCCTGTACTCTCAGGTAGAAAATGAATTGGTGGATCTGATTGATGAGCTGCTGGAGAGAGATGCTGGCACCGTCAACAGCACGATAATAGGTAAGCCACTTGATTCATTTGGATTAATGGATTTGGATCTCGAATTAATGGTAAACAGGCAAGGGAAAGGGAAAGTAGTTGTGTTCACAACAACTAAACCTCAGTTACTGGATACAAAAGCATATCTATAAAATTAGGGTTATTGCACACTGGAATCAAAGTTCCCTGTATTTCAAACAGGCAGGGAAACCCAGAGCTGATGTATCACTTGTTTGTTCTGTCAGTGGGACGCAGCGGTGAAGATGAATCTCAAGAGGATGTGTTGATGGATGAGGCCCCCTCCAATATTAGCCAGACATCCACTCTTCAGGCCAACCGGGAAGGTAAGACGTCGGCACAACAGAACTTTGTCTGTTTATCAGAGTAAATAATTCACTGACGGCTTCTCAGTTTTTAAGATCTTCTTGTGAGGAACTCTGTGTTTCTCTCTTCCATCAGACTCCATGAACATCCTGGAACCAGACGATGAGGAGCACACACAGGAGGAAGATTCAAGTGGTAGCAATGATGATGAAGACAGTCAGGATGAAGAGGAAGAGGAGGAGGAAGAAGAGGAGGAGGATCAAGTATGGGTTAATGCAATGAGGTTCAGTAAACGCATGTTGATTCTTGCTTAGCCTTAAGACTCATGGCTGCTTTTTTTACCCCCTCAAGGATGATGAAGAAGGAGATGAGGATGATGATGATGAAGGTTCAGAGATGGAGCTGGATGAGGACTTCCCTGACATCAATGCCGCACCACACATCCGCTTCGAAAGGTTTGACAGGGATGATGACCTCATCATAGAGTTTGACAACATGTTCTCCAACAACGGTAAGCAGGAGGATTCATCAACGTTTACTAATCAAATTTAGATTTTTGTACGAATGTCCCATCCTCCCTCCAAAAAAAACTCAATTTGGGTTTTGGATTAAGTTCATCATGATCACATACAATTTGGCTTCTTTGTTGCAGAATGTTTCCTTTTGATATCCTAATCAACTGTTAGAAATTGTGGGAAATATCAGAACCTCTTTATACTCGTAAAAGCTGTTCAGCCTGATTTCCAAAGACTGGTTCCAACTACACACAACAATGATGGGTAGCCCTCCTCCAAAGCAGCTCTTCTCACATCACTTACAAAAGTTTGAGACATCCCAAATGAGTTAATTACAAACTCCCAAAAAACAGATGATGCAGAAAACGAATTTTCTTAAGCTTTATTTTCATAAACATTTCTTGGGGTTGTGCCCTAATGCCTGCCTACTGTTTTCTGTTGTTTTTTCCATTAGCTGACATCCCTCCCTCCCCAGGCAACATCCCCAGCTCCCACCCACTGATGGTGCGCCACGCAGACCACGGTTCCCTCACCCTAGGTGTGGCCGGCACTAGCAGCCGCCTGGCACAGGGCATGGGTCGCAGCCAGCGTACACTGCGGCAGCTCACTGCCAACAGCGGACACACCATCCACGTCCACTACCCTGGCAACCGCCAGCCGAACCCTCCGCTCATCTTGCAAAGGTGAAAGCATGTTTTGTTTTTTGGTTTCCTTGTTAAACACACATCCTTTTTGCAACATCTGTCACACCGGTGTCTCTGTGTTTGAGTTATACTGCTAGTTAAAATGTCTGCTCCTCCTCTGTTCCCTTCTGTAGACTGTTGGGCCCCAGCGCTGCAGCAGACATTTTACAGCTGTCCAGCTCCCTGCCTCTGCAATCTCGTGGTCGGGCCCGCCTTTTGGTCGGTAATGAGGATGTGCACATCATCGCTCGTTCTGATGACGAGTTGTTGGATGACTTTTTCCATGAGCAGAGCAGCACTGGGGGACAAGCAGGTGAGAATCACTATGGGTTGTTATGTAATGGTCTTTTGCTTAGTATTAGCCTGAACTCCTAACATGGTTGTTCCTTTTGTGTCTCTAGGCACTCTCTCTAGTATTCCAACTGCCTTAACAAGATGGACCGATGAGTGTAAAGTGCTGGATGCGGAGAGTATGCATGACTGTGTTGCAGGTAGGTTGGTCTCGAACGGCAGACTTGTCTTAATGGAGACACATTGTATCACGAAGTACATTAATGATGTGATGACATGTAGTGGACGGCTGTTGGTGCTTTCAGAAAGAACTGCCATTTTTGAGAAACTGATCAATATTAATTTGGATATGTTGGCCAAGTAATTAGAAGTATTCACTGTTCATTTCAGTCTCATTTGTTAATGGAATCCCGAAGGAGCACAACACAATAACCTTCATTTGGGTGTAAGTGCTGTCAGAAGCCAGGTTGGGGATTCACAAAGAGAAAATCAATTGAATGATGTAATTCCATTTAATTTCATGCACCAGGCTTAAGCTAAAGTGGCATTGATTTGACTTGTTACACCCTGTGAGCTACAGCCACAACAAAGGATGAACACTGACATCTGCGTGTGCTTTCAGTGGTGAAGGTGCCGATCCTGCAGCATCTGGAGAGTCTGCGAGATGAGGAACTGGAAGAGCGTAGAGAGAAGAGAAGGAGGCAGCTGGCTGAGGAGGAGGAGTCTAAGCAGAATGAGAGGAGGGCCTCTGGAGCAGAACAGGCCAGGGAACAGAGCCTGCAGGTTGGCAAAGAAAATACATGTTTGTTTGGCTCTGTAGGAGGAGGATTGTTCAAACCGAGAAGTGCTTAAATCTTTTGCCATTTGTATTCACTTGTTTGATAATATTAACTGTTTTTCCATAGGGTTCTGGATTGGGGACAGTTAATGGTGCAGAGAACACTGCAGGTACTGACATTTGTATAGATTGTGTTTTTGTTTCTGTCTTCATGTCAAAACTTTTGTCGGTAATGAACACATCTCGGGGACGGGCACCCAGAGGCAAGCTGCCTGCCGAGCGTGCTATGGGATGAGGTAGTAGTTTGTATAGTTTTAGGATCACACCAGATCTGGGAGATAACTATACAGTCTACTGTCTTTCCTGTGGTAATGCCATACCAGCTGGGCGTCTCCATCTGCTGCAAGTGACTCATTCTTAACCTGCAAATGGTTGCTGTCTTACAGTCTTCCACATATTTACATATCATCCCTGGAGTACAAAGCTGCCCGTTATGTATATTGTATGCATTGCAGGCTGTGCTGTGGTGAGGTAGTAAGTTGTGTTGTTGTTAGGGATCAGGATTGTGCACCCCGTCAGGAGATAACTATACAACTTACTGCCTTCCTCAGTGGAGGCCCTTGTCGTCTATGTAGAAAATGATCAATAACTAATCAGCATATTGTCATTTCAGTTCTGTGTGCTGTTCTCTTGTGTGCTAGCTTCATACATTTATACCTTGAAAGGGGTTGGAACAGTTTGGGCTGCAATTGTGTAAAAGGGAACAGTTTTCTATAACTGGGTCAATCTGATAAGTAAGCATTGGTAGCATAGCATAGAGTCACTTGTAACAATTGTTCTGTAGTATTGTCATAACAAGCATTTTAGTGTTTATAAACCATGTAATCATGTTTAGTCACTGAAAAAAATAAGATGACTTCACATCAAAAGTTTTTTTCCCCTCAAGAAAGCATAAAGCTACCTTCACATACCTGTCTTCACATATTTCTTCTCTCTGGATGTTGCAGAGGGTGAGCAGGCTCAGGGTGGTACGGTGTCATGTCTGGACCCACCCAGGGTCTCAGAGGGCTTCCTTACTGCTCCCCCATCTGGAGAGGTCACTCCCACCACGCCCGCTCCTCATGAACAGACCTTAGTCTCCCTAGAGACTCCAATCAGTCAGCAGGTCCACCAGCCAATTACTGACCTGCTACTGGCCGAGTCGCATGCAAGCTCACTGGCCGCTCTGGCAGGGGCGGGCCTTCCACCTTTGTCGGCAGCTGACAGGCCAAACAGTGAAGCGGAGGCATCTCAGATGGAAATGTCCCCGGCACCCACAATCGGTGAGAGAGTCGGAGGTGGAGGAGCATTGGATGAAGGCAGGGAAGGTAGACTAACTTTGAAAACTCTTTATACAGACTGGCCAACAGTAAGGACACACATCTGTAATGGCAATGTTGTTCACCGTGCTTGTAGCTAGTTTCTGTCATAAAGTCTTCTGAACACTGAAATACAAATCAATTGCCCAAGGAACTTTGCTACAGTACATTATTCACACATTCCCTAACCTTACTCTCACTCTTTTCTTTTTCCCCTCAGCCTCCCTAAGTCCAGACATTGTGGAGACCTCAGAGCCTGCGATAGTGGGTGTGTCACAGCTGGAAGGGTCACCCATGGATACCAGCAGCCCTGCCTCTGCCACTCAGGAAGAAGCTGCTCCTAACCCTGCCCAGACCACCCAGCTGTCTCAGGAGCTGTCTGGCAGCGTGGAGAGTGGGCTGACTGACCGGCAAACAGATGCAAAGACTGGGTTAGTAGCATGAAGTATCATGTACCCTTTATCTCTTGACCAGATAACATACAGTTTTATAAAAAGTGTTTCAGTCCGAAAGAAATTGGAGTTGAAAGCCATAATTTCCCCCCAGCTTTTTTTGCAGCATTTCATTGAACATCCAGTTATGGAACTTAAAATACATTGCACTCTTTCTAAGTTTATTTTTTTTTTTTTTTTTTTTTTTTTTGGTGAAATGCAGTGTTTTGTTTGCTCTTTGACTTACTTTAAATTTGACAGTGTGTTAATAGGTTAAGTAATTTGTCACACATAATGTTGCGGATTGATTTTATATGTTTTTATATATTCACAGCTCTACTTCTGTCTCATCACCCGGGGAAACGATGCCCAGGAGTGACAGCGCTGACAGCCAGTCTCAGGCCATCCAGGAAGAGCCCCTCCCATCCACCAGCAATGATGACGAGGACCCTCTTGCAGGTAAAAATGATTGCTCTCCTACTTTTCCTGCAGTTTCTCATATTCTTACTGAAATAATACATCTCATGCAGCGTTTGTTTTGGCAGGCATCAGCCTGCCAGAGGGTGTGGATCCCTCTTTCCTGGCAGCTCTTCCTGAGGACATCCGTCGAGAGGTGCTGCAGAATCAGCTCGGCATCAGACCACCCTCCCGTCCCCCTGCTGCCACTACCTTGCCTTCCACTACAGCACCTGTACTGGGAGGACCAGGGGTTACAGAGGTCAGCCCTGAGTTCCTGGCAGCCTTGCCACCTGCCATCCAGGAGGAGGTAAGAGACTCTTCACTGAAATGAGACTGCAGACGTCTCTTACATTTAGAATATAAAATCTTACCTGAGAAGTAAAGGAACCGCAGATAATTATTTCTCCTAACTGGGAATGTCATCGGTTGTCTCAGGTACTTGCCCAGCAACGGGCTGAGCAGCAGCGCAGGGAGCTAGCTCAACAGCCCACACAAGGAGACACTCCTCTGGATCCAGTCACCTTCATCCAGACGCTGCCCTCGGAGCTCCGGCGTAGTGTCCTGGAGGACATGGAAGACAGCGTGTTGGCTGTCATGCCCCCGGACATTGCTGCTGAAGCAGCCGCGTTGCGTAGAGAGCAAGAAGCACGCCAGAGGCAACTGATGCATGAGAGGTTGTTCGGTCACAGCTCATCTTCAGCCCTATCAGCCATTTTGCGCTCACCTGCCTTCACCAGTCGGTTAGGGAGCAATCGTGGCGTCCAGTACACTCGACTTGCTGTGCAGAGAGGAGGCACATTTCAAATGGGTGGAGGAACAAACCACAGGTGAGAGGAGACTGTCATCTAATGGTCTGTTTTGAGAATTCAATTTTTTTTCGTATTTCTGAAAATGAAATGCCATAATAGAAGAGGGATTTATGAAATTTCTGACTTGTCTTGATCAAATCGTACTGCACTTGTGACAAACTGACGATATGTTATCGTTTTGTTTCCTCAGACCATCCAGTTCCAGCGTGGACTCCTTGTTGCGTCTGCGCGGTCGGTTGCTGTTGGACCACGAGGCCTTGTCCTGCCTGCTGGTTTTGCTGTTTGTGGATGAACCGAAGCTCAACACCAGCCGTCTGCACCGCGTGCTCAGGAACCTCTGCTACCACTCTCAGACCCGTGGTTGGGTCATTCGGAGCCTGTTGTCCATCCTCCAACGCAGCAGCGAGAGTGAGGTGTGTGTGGAGACCACACGTCTAGAAGACTCTCGTGGCAAGAGGAGCACCCAGGGAGGCTGTGCAGGAAAAGGGTCCGCTACCTCCTCCCTCTCCTCTTCATCCTCGTCTTCATCCTCATCTTCCTCCTTAGAGCTACTGAACAGGGTGGAGTCTCGCAGCTCCAGCCAGCTTTCCTGGCTCTCTGTTTCTATGGATGCAGCCCTGGGCTGTCGGACAAACATTTTCCAGATTCAGCGAGCATCGGGTAGGAAGCATGCTGACCGCCACTCAGCTGGAGGTTCAACAGGAACTGGAGCTCTGGCAGGAGTGTCAGGCACTGCGGCGGGAGTCGCATGTGCTGGAGGTGGAGGTTCAACCGTCCACATCCACCCACAAGCTGCTCCAGTGGTCTGTCGACATGTTTTGGACACACTCATCCAGCTAGCAAAGGTGAGAGTCCTTCTATCTTCATCTACATCTGATTCATCATTTATTGTATGTTGCAATTTTTTTTTTTAAAGTCAATTGAATTTTAATAATTTAGGTCCTTTTAATTTTGTTTCTGTCCCTGCAGGTGTTCCCCAGCCACTTCACTCAGCAGCGCTGCAAGGATCTATTAACATCTTCGTCCGACCTGGACGCTCGTCTTTGTTCAATCACCTCTGTGGGAGGGGGTGGAGGTGGGGCCTCCAGGACTGGATCTCTAAGTAACCCCAGCTCCAATGCCTCCAACACCCAGAACTCCTTCGGCTCCACCGCCGCTACCCTCCAGTCTCTGGGAATCTCCACTGATTTTTGGGACCTTCTGGTCAAGCTGGACAACATGAATGTCAGCCGCAAGGGCAAAGCCTCTATGAAGACGGTGCCTCTGGGGAGCAGTGCCGAGGCCGAGGGGGCTCAGTTAAGCCTGGAGACCTCTCCTCTAGGCCAGCTGATGAACATGCTGTCCCACCCTGTAATCAGACGGAGCTCCTTGCTCACTGAAAAGCTTCTGCGTCTGCTCTCCCTCATATCCATTGCCCTACCTGACAACAAGGCCACCGAGGTGCCTGCTGGGCACCCAACCCCACAGGCTGCCATCCCCAGTACGGCATCCAGCTCAGGAGTCACAGCCCAAATCACAACACAAGGCACAGTGTCAGCGGGCTCAATCCAGCCTACTGTGACGGTCTTAGGGGCCTCTGTGGGAGCTGTAGTCCAGGGTACATCCTCAGGGACGAGTCTAGCAGCCTCCCAGACATCCTCTACAACCATCTCTATACCCACGTCCACTGGAATAACCTCTGCAGGTAGTGTTCATTTATTCCAAGATAAGATGTCATCAATTCATTCAGATTTTACGGTGTAACGTTAAGTTCAGTAGAAAATAGTAATGTGTATGTTTCTGGGCCATTTTGTCAAAACAGGAAAACTGAGGGGCGCTACTAGCAGCACAGAGTGTGACAACAAGATGGCCTCCAGTGGACTCACGGAGAAACAGCTGCAACTCTCTGTGGAGGTATGGGGAGAAAACATCATATGTTGTCATGCATACTGTCATTATGCAATGTTTGTGAATTTCCAATACTGCATAGAAATATGTAACTTTGCATCAAACTATTTATTTTCAAGATATTAATTAATCTTAAGCATTTATTGGGGCAATCCAATTTTGCAAACTTAAGGGATAGAGAGAAGCAAGTTTTAAAACTAAGTTGAGAGGCATGTTTGGATTGTGGCTCTGGGCTTGCACTTGTTTTGTATCTTTCTATGATGAGGAGAAATAAGTGTATAACCTACAAGATTAAAAGAATGCAAAAGTAAATAAATATGGTTGAACAGTTTCAGAGAAGCCACATCAGTGCACATCTTCAGAGTTAAGAAACGACAACGGCAATTATTTCAGCCTTACAACCTGGACATGTGTATTTTCTGTAGCCAGACGGATCAGTTAATCCAGTCATCCAGCATATATTATATATCGACACAATTGTACGAATGCAAACAGGCCCTTTTGCTTGGGAGCTCTTAAGAAGTATTGACAAGATCATCTACTCCTTTTCATTGTTTTGGACACAGGGCAATTGATCTCGTGCGTTTCTTACATTTATGCAATTTTATTAATAATCCCTTCGAGGATTTTTTCTAATAATCCTTTTCCTCCTTCTCACAAGGTGTTGACATCTCACTCATGTTCAGAAGAGGGTCTAGAGGATGCAGCCAACATCCTGCTGCAGTTATCTCGAGGAGATGGCGCCACCAGAGACACTGTGCTGAGACTGCTGCTCAGTGGAGCCAGACACCTCGGATACACTCTTTGCAAACAGATCGGTCAGTGCTGGACGACTACACAGACGCTAGTTTCTTTTGCTCCTATTTAAGCAAATACAGTTTTCTCTTTACACACATTGTTTATGCCTCCACACCTGGCTAATCAGTTTAGTCCAACTTAGAATATATGTGATATATCACATATATGTGACTGAGGAAGAAAAAAACATTTTTGGCTATGACTCACAAATTCATGTGCTAATTACGACAACTCGACACAAATGTCTTAAAGGATCAAATATTTTACACAGACGTTGATGTAAACTGCAACTTTACTGGTTAACGTTTTCTCTCTCTCAGGCACATTGCTGGCCGAACTTCGAGAATACAACTTGGAGCAGCAGAGACGGGCACAAGCTGATTCACATTCCCCGGATGCCCCTCCTGAGGATACCTCCCTCTCAGGCAGACTCAAGGGCAAGATGTCTAGCAGGTAAGCCAGTGATGGTGCCGGGCCCCCCCCCGTTGACTTTACGTTGTCAACACGCATGCAAGAGAGACTGTGGTAGACCTATTCTGTTTAACCTAAAGTGTAGTTAAATTGGCCCGAGTAGTCCCCTTAGGAATCTGGTTTTGCATGAAAGTAAATGTCACAACTACAATTTCCTTTACCTGGTATGCGTTTGTTGGCTGGGGCACAGGTTTGACGGCTCGGAGAGTGTGGTCATTGTGGCTGCACAAAAACGTACACTCGGGGGACGAGAGCTCCAGCTACCCTGTATGAGCTCACTGACCTCCAAGACGTCGACGCAGAAGTTCTTCCTGCGAGTGCTGCAGGTCATCATCCAGCTCCGTGAGGACACACGGCGCGCCAACAAGAAAGCCAAGCAGACGGGACGATTAGGTAAGAAGACGTTGCATACACAGTTTTTCTTGTATGCGTACAATATCCCGATGATGTATCAAGTGAGACAACCTTCTCCTCCCTCTGCCATTGGCCAGGCTCCACTAGTTTAGGCTCAGCCAGCAGTATCCAAGCTGCGGTGCGTCAACTAGAGGCCGAGGCTGACGCCATCATCCAGATGGTGAGAGAGGGTCAGCGGGCACGCCGGCTCCAACAGGCCCCCCCACCCACCGCCTCATCTGCCTCTGCTGCTGTTGCCGCTGCTGCCGGATCGTCAGTGGCGGCCCCCCATGCCCCCACTGGTGCTGCTCCCCCTGCTGGCACGGCTGCTGCTTCCACGGTTAGCATGGGCTGCACTGACGGCAGGCGTACTCGTACTCGCACACTGCACACACTGACAGTAGGAGACCATTTGAAAGCTGAAAGTTAAACCTTTTCTATTGTGTTGTGTCTTTGTGTGACAACACAATGCGGTGTGCAGTCACCATTCACCATATCTCTGGTTAATGCACAGTGACAGCTGCTGCCATGATGAACACTGGCAGCTCCATTAGCAGAAAGAAAGATGTGCCAGAGACGACTGCATCTTGTCTTTGCATTGATATGTTCAACTGTTGAAATGATCTAAATATGAATGAGTGCTGCCTGCTCCAAACTGTTTGATCTGTTCCACTTATTCTGTCTGTTTGCTGGCTGGCATGGCTTCATGCTTTTGGCCCTCCTTCCTTCCATACTCGGTTCAAAGTTCCCCTCCTCTCAGTGGATCACGGAAATGTCATTATGCATGGCAACATCATTCAAGATGGTTTCTAAGCAATAAACAAATGCCACTCATTCGTTATTCCATGCGTCTCCCTGTTGTTCACCCTGTGACTCTGTCTCTCTGGTCCTTCCTGGTTTGTTTTCTGTAGTCTGAAGGACAGTCGATGTCAGAAGCCCAGGCTGCCCAGAGAGATGATTCTCCAATGGACGTGGACCAGCCTTCTCCTCTAGACCAGGACCCTGCACCTCTGGGTAGGACTTGCTACCTTTAATGACAATTTAAAACACCTGCTGATTTGCTGTTCTTTGTTTTGTCAGTAAATGACCTTCACATCCAGTGAGCACAATGTGTCTACCCTTCTCTGATAGTGCCAGTAATAACTCAAGTCATGTTAACATAGACAGTCTACAGAATATAGACTTATTCACCAACACAAACTGTTTTTTATTTGGCTGTAAATTGACTACTCTAGTCACAGTTGACAGCATAACACGTGTACATGGTTCAGTCAATATTTAAATTCTTTGTCAGATGAGGACGGAAACGGACAGTCGGAGAGTGAGGAGAGACTGCCAGACCTACCGCTGCTCAGCGAGCAGCTGTTGTTGGATGAGCTATGGGACATGCTTGGGGAGTGCCTGAAAGAGCTGGAGGAGTCCCATGACCAGCATGCCGTACTGGGTACGCGGAATCCTTCTTAAGAAATGCATTTCTTTATGCTGTGGTATTATTGTCTGTTGAAAGAGTACGGTTGGCTGATTTCTTCCCATAATGATGTTTTCTTTGTTTGCCCAGTTCTCCAGCCTGCTGTGGAGGCCTTCTTCCTAGTCCATGCCACGGAGCGAGAAAGCAAACCTCCGGTGAGGGACACCCGGGAGAGCCAGCTTTCTCACATCAAGGATGAGCCTCCACCGCTGTCGCCGGCACCCCTCACACCTGCCACGCCCTCATCCCTAGACCCGTTCTTCTCCAGGGAACCATCCTCCATGCATATCTCTTCAAACCTTCCACCGGATACGCAGAAGTTCCTCCGCTTTGCCGGTGAGCCTGAAAGATTTAAGGAAGGAGAATGTTAAAGCTTTTGTTCTGATGTTGCAGTGTCTAACAGGACTCGCTGCTCTTCCCTGTAGAAACTCACCGCACAGTGCTTAACCAGATCCTGCGCCAGTCCACCACTCACTTGGCTGATGGGCCTTTTGCAGTACTGGTTGACTACATACGCATCCTGGACTTTGACGTTAAGAGAAAGTAAGGGGCATTATCTTACACGTCTACCTTCCACTATCTAATAAACAGTTATTGTTTTGTTTTTTTAATTACTGACTTTCTGGCCACCTCTACAGGTACTTCCGTCAGGAGTTGGAGCGACTGGATGAAGGTCTTAGGAAGGAGGACATGGCTGTTCATGTGAGGAGAGATCACGTGTTTGAGGACTCCTACAGGGAGCTGCATCGCAAAAGCCCAGAGGACATGAAGAATAGGCTGTAAGGCTCCATTGTCCCTCTATCCACCTGCGTATCCTCCCAATTGAGAACCACTCAACCGGAGTCACACTCTGCTCTCTTTCCATTACAGATACATTGTGTTTGAAGGGGAGGAGGGCCAGGATGCTGGTGGCCTGCTGAGGGAATGGTACATGATCATCTCCCGGGAGATGTTCAACGCCATGTACGCCCTGTTTCGCACTTCGCCAGGTGACCGTGTCACCTACACCATCAACCCCTCATCCCACTGCAACCCCAACCACCTCAGCTACTTCAAGTTTGTGGGTCGTGTGGTGGCCAAGGCAGTGTATGATAACCGGTTATTGGAGTGCTACTTCACCCGCAGCTTCTACAAGCACATTCTGGGCAAGAGTGTCAGGTATTTCAGCCACTGGCAGTTACAGCCAAGTATCCTAATTTTCCTACGTTGTGTTCTAACTGCACTAAATGTGACTTTTTCTTGAACATGTACATGATATGGATGTGGTCTTGCCAGGTACACAGACATGGAGAGCGAGGACTACCCGTTTTTCCAGGGTTTGGTGTACTTGTTGGAGAATAATGTGTCCACGCTGGGCTATGAGCTGACATTCAGCACAGAGGTTGGTGTCTGTTCTCTGAGCAATTTAATTAGCTTCAAGTGACAAATTGGTTCTCATGTTGCATCTTCTTCACTGATGAAACTGGGATAGAGCCTGGAGGGTTTGAATCCCAAATGCTTTTTGCTGTCGTACAATAAGTGCTGCAAATATGTAATTTGCAATCTGATGGTCTTAAAATACTGTTAATGGATATTATATGTGGCTAGCAGTGAAATATTAAGCTGAATGAGTCATACTGAAAGCCTGCATTTGCTCTGTCTGTGTAGGTCCAGGAGTTTGGAGTGTGTGAAGTGAGAGACCTCAAGCCAAATGGAGCCAATATCCTGGTTACAGAGGAAAACAAAAAAGAGTATGTGCACCTGGTCTGCCAGATGAAGATGACAGGTGAGATTATGGCTCTTCTACCAAATATTTGATTTCCCGTTAGCAGCAGGACTGAAAAAAAAAAAACAATGTGTTAATCTATCTATATCTATATCTGTCTGTCTGTGTGTGTGTGTGTGTGTGTGTGTGTGTGTATATATGTATGTATCTATATATGTGTGTGTGTGTGTGTGTGTGTATATGTATGTATCTATATATGTGTGTGTGTGTGTGTGTGTGTGTATATGTATGTATCTATATATGTGTGTGTGTGTATGTGTATGTGTGTATATGTATGTGTATGTGTATATGTATGTGTATATGTATGTATGTGTATATGTATATATGTGTATATGTGTATATGTATGTGTATGTGTATATGTATATATATATATGTGTATGTGTATATATATATGTGTATGTGTATATATATATGTGTATGT